TCACACTGTCAAGCAGAACAGGCAATTCTCATAATAAGTAGCATTCAGCATAGTAGCAGCCAGAAATATGTTGATATTGATTCCTGTTATCAGATGTATGTACTCTGATGCATTGTAGGAAAAAAGATCTTTAAACAATGTAGTCCCAGCAGCAGCTGAGCTATTTTCCTCTAAGTGGAAGGTGTTTTGTATCGCCGGGGGATGCTCAACCCTGGATTCAGTTTTCAGAGCAAAGCCTCAGCCCTTTCATTGGTGAATCTCGCTATCAAAAGTTGAGGACTCAAGTGTGTGAAGGAGGCCAAGCCCCCAGGGACTGAAGACTTCAGATTTCCCTTCGATAAAGTGAAAATCAAAAGTATGAGATAGGAATCCTGGCTTCTGGGTTTGAAGTCATACCTGAGGATATCTGTAGTGTTGACTCTTTAGCCACATGGATTTTAAATGTTTGCCACAGGTAGGGCTAGCCAAAAAACTAGCAGAATGGTGTTGATAAAAAGGACTTCGGACTGGAAAAGAGCTTTCTTCAAAGTATACAGAAAGCATTGACAGTTTGGCTTTTCCTTTGTTCTGTCTGTCAAAGAAAACAATTATCTTGATTGTCAACTCTGGTTTCTTGGGAACTGAAAGCCTCCTTATGGCTTGGGCTGGGCTCTGTTACTGGTTTTAGTTCCCACACGTGCTGCAACAACCCTCTTACTATGTACTGCCCATGTCCTCCTGAAGCCTGTAGCGCACAGTGGTAGCAGATGCAATCTGCCTGACCTGCAGAAGGAAATGAAGCCTGAGGGTACTGCACATGCCTCTGAGAATCAAACTGCTTGAAGTTTTCTGATGTATCAATTTATAACAGAAAATAAATCACATTGAATTTGTTTTATAAATATTGGTTTTTCTCACTGTCCTCTGTTGTTATTTAATGAACACTTTTTATCTTGGGACAGAGGAATAGCTCTTCTGTAACCAGCTCAGATGCCGCTGCGCTTGATACCTTGATCAGCTGAGGATATTTGAATGATGAATGTATACCATTTTTTTGCATAAATGGGAAATGTATCCTGGAAACAGAAGTAGCTTTGGAAAAATGATAACTTGGTACAATAAGCGTTGTTTTTTCTGAGCCATAATTCAGTGTTTTCAGTAGTAGTTTCTAACATAGTGCCAGGAATCTGGTGCATACCCTCTGACCTCTGGTAATATACCTCTCAGCATTGCCATATCCACAGGTATGTGAAGGAGGTAATAAACCAGATAATTTTTGGATTGCTACAGTTTCTATTTTACAAGCTATTAAAAACTGATGTAGGTGAGAACTTTAAAAATACCTATAATTTATACAAAAACATTTTCAAGTCATTTGGGAAAAGAATCAGGCTTTCAGTGTGGAGGAGGAGCCTACTCAAGACATCTATGTGGTTGGCTAGGATTTACCTTCAAAGGCAAGAGGATTTCTGTTAAGCTGCCTCCACCTTGTACTGTTGCTGTCTGTTCTTGCTCAGCCTGACTGAAGACCCTGATGTTTTAAAAGTTCCTATTATTCTTGTTACTGTGCTGGTGTTCATCACTCTCTGCTGTTTGTGACTATGAAGCTGTTTGTAATGTCACACAATCAGCCAGATCACCAAAATTAATTGTGTTTAAAACAAAAAATGAAAAGTGTTTTTGGGAGTAGCTGAGCAAGGTAATTTTTAACTTGAAGCATTTTGATGATATCCTAATCTTCTTGCCATCCACTAGTGTTTTCTCAAGTCATGTTCTACACTGAAGTGATTAATTTGTCTGATTTTGAGACATCTGTGATAGTATTTTTGTCATTGAACTCCCTCATATTTAGACTTTACATGAGAAATGAAGAACTGATTAGTTTCTTGTCTTGTGGCAGCCTCGTAGAAGGCAACGTAAGTGTTCACACCATTTAGAAACTTACTGTAAATTTAGGCTTATCTGCAGGTGTCTTACCAAGTTTTGCTGTTAACATTTAAATATGCATCAAGAAATTCTTTCCATTTGTCTTGTACGTATTTTTTTATTTCTGTCGTTTCTAAATATTCTGAGGAAAAGTTAAGTTTTTAGGGAATTTAAATTAAAAGTTCACTCCTGATACAGGATTGCCACATTCAATGGAGTTCTTTACTTATTACCTACTTAAATTATACACAAGTTTCAGGTAGGATCCTCCTGTCCCCCAAATGTTTAACTCTACAGCAAGCCTGACTAGCCTATCAGTTTTAAAAATGAAATCACAAACATCAAATCCCAAGAACATAGCTGATTATTTTTTCTTTTCCTCTTCCAGGAGGTTAGTCACGACACAAGAAGATTTCGCTTTGCTCTTCCTTCTGTAGATCATGTTCTGGGTCTCCCTATAGGTATGTCCTGTTTTTCCTTGCCAAGAATCGCAGCATTGTTTATTACACTTGTTGCAGAAATCTGAAACATGATTTACAAGAGTGACTTGAATGTCTTAAAATTTATTACTGTTATAGTAATTTTCGTCATGATACCAAGGGTTTTTTTCTTCTAGTCTGTACTCTTGAATTTTAAATATTGTCCATGCGGCTTGAGCCATCTGCTAGTACTTAGGGCCTTGCAAAACTGTCCTCATGCTGTGAGTCGTCTGCAATGTCTGAAATCCTGTGTGCTTACAGAGAATGTACATTCAACTTGTTTCTTTCAACACAGTAGAAACAAACGTTTGTCTTTGGTTTATGTTTTCCGATCTTAACTTTCTACTGAATATTATTCCCAAGGTGCTTGGTCTTTCTGACCTGTTTCCGTCCCTTGAGGCAATACTCATAGCTGCTTCTCTCTCTCCTCTGATTTATGCGTTTTTACCAAGTGATCTGCTAACCTCTAAATTTGCAGCCAGTCTTATGGAACTTTTTAATTGCCATGGAGGAGATGTTTCCTTAGCACTTGCCATGTGCCCTGTTATCTTCTGTAATAGCGTAGTGCAACTGTTACATGCTCTTTGCATAAACGGTAAGTAATTGAGACTTGTGTTTAATAGGGACTTCTGCTTTAACCATCTCTTGGAATGGTCTGTGGAGCAGAGGTGGCTGATCGTAGTCCTTAGCACCTTTTCAGCATTACCCTGTATCCTGTTCAGGTTCCCTTTTATTTAGGGATCTTGTTAAGTAGTCATGAAGGGCAAAGCTAGTTTCCTTCGCTGCAGGGGGGACTTTGGAAGGAAGGGAAGTTGTGAACTGGAGAGGGTGGTAAAACCAGCTGGGAGTAGCAGACTTTGCAGTGTTGGGCCAAATAGTGGAGTGCACTCTGCATGTCTGATCCAGCACCAGCATTTCACTTTTACTAGCCAGCTAGAGCGCTGCAGAAAAAGTGTGATTAGCTCTAACAGCGAGCGGGATCCTATATGGCTTGCTTCATCCTTCTAGTTAACCTAGAGTAGAGTCAAGGAGATCCCTGTGCTCCCCAGCATCTGCTGTCCTGTTACTGACAGGGTGAAGCTCTAATGAGAAGGAGCATAAGGTATGTTTTCCCTTTGGGTGGAACACCTCTTTCCTGGGTTTGAACTAATTCTTGTATGGCTTACCCTGACAGTGGTCTTATTTGTCCAGATTCACATCCTGAAATATTAGCAATAGGTGTATTCCAGAAGGGGGAAAAAAGGCCGTGGCTTGCCTGGGAAGAAGGAACCAGAAGCTGCTGCTGCAGCTCCCTTCAGTTCTTACCCGACAGGAAGCGCGAATGCTATTGAACGTGCATACCACTACATAGGCCTCACTGATAGGATTGTTTGAGTAACCCTTGCATTATGCCTGTGTATAGCTTCAGGTCATTTATGGTTGCACAGTTTCATAGCCACTAGGTATTTCAGGAAGATATTAGTGTCAGTCTGCACACCATCATCCAGACTCTTCTGCCTCACAGACCTCCAGCTCGACAAACTAGCTCCCAGTAAAATCACCTCTTTGTACACCCACAAAAGGCAGAGGAGCAGTACAGTCTTTGAAGAGCTACACTGGTGTTAAGGCTGGTAGGTTGTTCTGGCTTAGTGGTGTTAAAATAAGGAAAAACATTTTTTCCCCCTAAATGTTCCTTAATTATAATGTCTCTTAAGGGCATTGGAATTTCATAGGAAAACCTTTTAAAGAAGTTAAATTCTAGGGTGTTTTCGTCAAAAACATATATGTTGACAAAAAACTACGGAGAGTTTTCGTGGAGAGTTCAACTAATATGCAACGGGTTGAAATGCGACTCATGCGTTCAGCTGTTAAGCTGGAAGAATAACAGGGTTAGAAAGCTGCTTTATGTCTAGGCAGCCTTAGCAATAGCAGCTAGAAGGTCTCTAGTCCTCCTGGTAGACATGAGCCATCCCTTGTGAAAGTAAGAACAGTTACTTGTAGCTAATATGTTAATAGAGTGTGAACCACACTTTCAAGTGGCAGTTGTCCTTGTACATGTTTTTTACATGTCTGTATATGAGAGGAGAGATCACGCTTTCTGGAACATTTCACTTGCAGTTAGGGCTTCGTTAAATATAAATACCCAAAAATCTCTAAACAGGCGTGATAGACATGTAAGGTTAGCAACCGAATCATTTGTCCTTCCAGGTAGAATCTGTGCAGAGCTGAGAACAACTCGGCAAGGTATTGTAATGTCAGGAAAATGACAGAGCTAAAAATGGTGCCCCAAAACAAGGTAGTTAAGACAGCTTTGAGATGCCATTTGTGGTTTATGCCAACTTGATATATCCAGTGAAAGAAAAATCTCTTTAAAGTAAACTCTTTTTTTTTTTCCTCCCTCACGTGTAGGACAGCATATCTACTTGTCAGCACGGATAGATGGGGCTCTGGTTGTTAGACCATACACTCCTGTATCCAGTGATGATGACAAGGGCTTTGTGGATCTTGTTGTCAAGGTGAGAATATCACTGTGTTTTACTAGACTGGGCAGCTTCTGAGCCCAGTTTTATGCTTGCAGTGCCACGTGAAGTCTAATTCTACTGTGATGTGCCAAGCTCGGTTCAGTGATGTGCCATTATGGGTTTTCATTATTGTAATAAGTAACGTGTGTTTACCTGCAATCCACGTGGCATTTTGCAGGCGCTTCTTTAGTCAGTGTGTCTCGTGAGCAACTATGTAATTCTCTGGGTTTGCAGACTGCCATTTTCCAAAGTCTCTGTACACTTGCAGATGTTCCCACGCTTGCTTTTTTTTTTCCTTAATACTTCTGAAATAAGGAATTAACCTTGTCTGAACCATCCGCTCATTCTGTAGCTAATGCAATATGGTCATCATGATGATCACAGATTATTAAAAAGAGATAGAAACATTGCTGACCTAGATAGTGTGGATGTCTGATGCGTTTGGCCAGAGTGTGAGTTTAGGTCTCTTAGGTCTTGTGGTGATATGTGTTTTGTCTCTTGGTAGTTAGAGTAAGCGAATGTATATTTAAAGCTGATAGGAATTTAAAACCTGAATTCCTGCCCGAATATCTTGTCAGAATTTTATTCTTGAGTATCTTTCTTGTTTACAACTAATAACATTTTGTTTATTTACTGTTAAACTAAAAGTGAATTTGTCTTTTTTTCTACCGACTTACGTTCATGTAAACACCAGTGTGTTTTTGAACACTGAAGACATGGCAAAGAAAACTGTAAGTCTTTGACTTAAGGAACATTTCACAGACCTGTTACTCCCGGGATGGCTGTTCTTGTAAAAATGGAGTTTGTTTCGGCTTAAAGCTTTCACAGCTGTTTGAGATGAACCAAAAAAGCACACTTTCAGCAATGTAGCTACCCCCGCTGATACCTTTTGGTGAACAGCTGAATCTTCAGGTAGTTGGTGTCCATTCTTTGGTTACCCTAACTTTGAGATGCAAATTGTTGGCATCCCAAGAAATTGAGATGCAAATTGTTGGCATCGCAAGAACAAGTTTAGGGAATATTCTTTTGCACCTGAGCTGTCATATACTTTCACTCTTTTTTTCTGTTTGGATTCACAGTGACTGGTTTTTTTTGAACTTGGGTGTCAGTTGTGTTGCTTGCTTAGAGAGCTTTTCTGTGTTACCATAATACAATGGAGAGTTTGCTAGTCTGTGACCAATCTGATCAAAATCAGACCAAAAAATTAGACCAAGGTTGACACTTTAATTTTTATCAGAAATCTCACCTAAGTGGTTCTTTTTTTCATCAGTTGAATCTGCCTTGATAGTATTTATTCTTGTAGTAATTTTATCCTTTGAATGAGGAATATAAATACATAAATATTTGCCTGGCTGAGTTAAGGGCAAACGCTCATATTTAAGCTGTGAGATTAATTGTTTCATTGTTATTTTTACCAGATTTACTTCAAAGGTGTCCATCCAAAGTTCCCTGAAGGAGGGAAGATGTCTCAGTACTTAGACAGCCTGAAAATAGGGGATACTATTGACTTCAGAGGACCAAGTGGCCTGCTTGTCTACAAGGGAAAAGGCAAGGCTGACTCGGAAAATATTATTTATCCACAGTATTTATCCACCCAGGAAAGCATTATAAGATTTTGATGGGTGAATAGCAGTAGTACTGCTCGTGTTTTTTCCGTCAGGGTTCGAGTCTTTCTCTGCACGAAAGAAATTGTGAGTCTCTTGATTAAGTCAACAGCCATCCTTGGTGGGGCAAGGGTTACATGACTGTAAAAGTGCTTATTTAAAAGTGCTTATGCCCTTCGCAAAGAAGGGAATTTGCTCCCTACATATATGGACATAGTTTATAAGCTGGTTAAAACCCTTGGTATTTGTGCAGTCCAATGCTAATTTCCCAAGTGAAAATAATCTTTAGCAGGATTTTAGGAAGTATTTTTATGCCAGTATAAAGTGTGTCACATAGGTATAGTGCTGCCACAAATGAGTTGCAAAAACCTTCTAGCAGTCCTGTGAGCAGCAGAACTTAGAAACCTGTCTTTCCAGAGCTTTGTATTTTGTGTTCATGTTATCCTGTATGAAGGGATGCACAAAGACAGTGTTTCTGGGAGTTTCAGACCCACTGCCAGGTTTGGCTGAAACTGGCAAATCAGCCTAAAAAGGAAGGAGTAAATATACAAGCAGTATAACTACTTACAGCTCTTTTTTTGTGGAAAATTAGGCCAAAAAATCAGTGCTTTCCAAACAGTACAATTTTGTATCGACTGTCTGGCCTAAGATACAGTGCTATGAAGTATGCTTTACACTGGTTTAACAGATTACGGGCTGAGCTGTTTGCCAGAAGGGGCAAGGGGTGTTAGTCAGTAATACTGGCAGAGCTGGCGCAATAGATTTCTCCTCTTTTTCTGGGAAAAAGCTCTGTGCAATCTGCATTGCAAAATAATAAGGCTGAAGAACCTGGAGGAAGCTGTGTTTTAGTCAGGCCTTTTTGCCCATGTTGTATGATCCTGCTTTCTTCAAGGAAATGATCTTTATCCTAAACTGGAGTTAACAGCAGGGGTGAAGAACAAGGGCAGCTGAAGTCAGTTACGTGCAGTATGCACACAGGAACCGTTACAACATATTCCATACTTGAGGAAAGCAGTTAAGCGGTAGTGAACACGCTGCGTTAAAACAACAAAACCACAAAGACGAACTCATAGGCCGACTGCTTTCTCTCAAACTTGGCTGTGATGGTATGCAATCTTCCCTCCCCTGCAGCGCTCTGAGGGTGACGGACTGTCCATGTTGTGCTTTTACTAGATGGAGACTGGTTTGGTTGATAACTGGTTAGACACTCTTTGTGCTGCAAATTTTCCCTGCAAATTTGGGGTTTTCCCTTAAAATAATCTGCATAGGGAAAATCAGCTCTCTGAGCAGATTAGTTCCTTTATGTAGAACTGTGTCCAGAGGCCTGAGCTTCTGAACATCATTGAGGGTATGGGATTTGGGTGAACAGAAATACAAGTAGTGACAAATTGATGCTACATCCCAGAGTAATAACCCATGTCAGTGTCTGGTGTTATCACCACGTGCCTTAAAATCTCTGATAACCTTTCAGGGTCTATTTTTCTTCCCTTATTTTACGAAGGGGAAGGGTGACAGGGCTGAAACCAAGTCAGTGAGTTGTACGAAGTGAGAAGGTATCATAGGCCCAGTGTTTGCTGCTTTCTTCAATATTTACCACCTCTCTCTGTTTCTTCAGGCCAGTTTGCTATTCGACCTGAAAAGAAAGCTGAACCAGTTCTAAAAAAAGTGAAATATGTGGGGATGATCGCAGGTGGGACTGGTACGTATGTATAAAGAATCATACCTGGTTTCTGACATCTGATAGATGTATTCATTCATATTTTTGCTTGCTCATGCTTTCTCTTGTTCCTTCGCACTGTTGTATTGTTTAATTGTACTTCTCTTTCAGGGATAACACCTATGCTGCAGATCATTCGAGCGATCATGAAAGACAAAGATGACCACACCGTTTGTCAGCTGCTGTTTGCTAATCAGGTAATTCTGTCCTTATTATTGTTTATAAACTTTAACAAGCAGAACTCCACTCAGCAAATGCAACTCTTGCTGAGAAAGCACAGTGCAGAAATACCAACCCTGAGGGAAAAGTGAACTGATGTCAAAAACGTACCATATGTAAAAACACTGTTGTGAGTTCTCATGTTAGCATTACTGTCCAAATGCTGATGTTCTCCCAGCTAATGCTCACTTTCTTGTGTCTATCTGCCCTGTTTCTAATCCAGTTTATCAACATTTTAAGACTCAGACTTCCTTTATGCAAGTTGTTAATGTGTTTGAGCAGACTTTCAGAGCTGTCTTTCTTACGTGAAAGACGTAGACATCTGCCTCCTTCAGTAATTTTAACTCCTCAACTTCAGAGCAGGGTTTTCATGTGGAATCTTTGAGAGTACATTCGGTGAGATAAAATTAAAATTGGTCTCCAGAAGCTACCTTGAACTACAGCTGTGATTCTGTACAGCTATCTCCTTTCATTTCCATTCCCTCCTTTAGTCCTTCATGCGTTTCTTTTGCTCCCCAAGGTTTACCATGCCAGTGTGGGACAACGGGAAGATTCCCTCATCCAAGAGAGGGATGGAGGGGAATCTTGGCAAAAACTAGGCCATCCACATGGTGGTCTAGTGCTGAAGTGCACACCTCTCCGTTTTCTAACATTCTTCTAGTATCCACCTTTTTGCTTTTAAACTTCTCCCTCCTGATAGCTGTTTCTGGATTTCGAGACATTCATGCCTGTGTTTTTAGCTTCTTTAGGCTCTCTATCGTTGCTCTATCCTCTGATACTCAGTGAATTCTCACTTCCTTTATACCATATGTGAATTAAAAGACAAAACCTTTTTTCTCCCCAGAAGTTACGATCCAAGTGACAGTGTAAGCATCCCTCTAGTGCTTTGCCACTGTAAGACCCCGTTAAGAGACCTAGCGGTGCCCTCTGGTGCTGGTTAGTGCAGCTGCAGCAGTTGATCTCTGCTGAGCAGTTGCAGTTGGCTGCCCTACCAGGACAGGAAGATTTGCTGTGAGCAGTTCAGATTGACTAATGTAGGGCTAGAGCGGCTTAATTAACCTGGAAAACCTTCTGCTTCTTGGGGAAAAGACTCAGGGAACAGTTGTCTATATATTAGCAAATATAAGCAAACATCAAGCCTTGGCTTTAAAGAGTTCCCGTGCCCAGTAACAGCAGAAATATAAAGCAACCTACTGACGAATGGACGGTCAGTGAAGCTGGCAGAATGGAGTTTTAATTTTTTTTATTATTATTATGTGTTTTGCTGATGTTTTATTTTGACCCTCCTGAAACAGCTGTGTTGGATTAATAGATGACCACGTATGCGGGCCAGTATTGTGCTTCTAACTAACCTGTGGCTTGCCTGCTTCTGGATCATCTTACATGTAGTCTTTTGGGGTCCTGCTTTGACTTGATCAAACCTAGTAATAGTCTTTTTGGAACACGTGCAATTGCAGATCCAGAAATAGGCACATTCTTGGCAATAGTTGCTGGTGCATTCCTCCTCACCCCTGCAGTTCCAGACGTTCTGGTGTCCATAGCGCAAAATTAGTAAGGCTGTGGAGGATGATGCCGCTTTTAGTCTCTACCCTTTCCCTCCCCTCCTGAACTTCAGCTGCTCTTACGGGAATAAGGCTTTCTTTTGGCCTTCAATGATATTGCATCAGGGAGGAGCAGAACTTGATACCTTGCAAAACATATGTTGTTCCAATCAGAACTTGATACCCTTTTGGGTATTTGTTGTTCCACATCCTGTTTAGAAGCTAAGCAATCTCCATATGGTGACACTAATGACATTTGAAGTGGTAAAGGTGAGAAACTTGACCTTTTCCTGATTGAATGGTACAGTATGGAGGAACAGTGAGATACTTGTGCAGTGATGATTAGTTTTTGATGAAGATTGCTTTTGTAATGGGGATGTTTAACGAGGGCTTCACTGTTACAGTGCCAAAGCTTAAACCCCTTCTGAGTGATGGTTCTGTGTTTCGATATAGGTATTGCTTTGTTTTGTTTTATTCTTTAGATGGAAGGCATTGCATGTTGGTCAGGGTTCGTGGAAGTTTTGAGCCTCTTAATTAACTCTGCCACTGGATAGTCATGGAAATAACTTGCATTTTCTCTCTTTAGCTTCAAAAATGGAGTGGAATAATCTGTTCAATCTCACAGGAATGCAGAGTAGCTAATGCTCAGTGGTCATTTGAGGGCTGCACTGAAATGCAGAATGTAATCATTGTTTTTCCTTATCCTGCAGACTGAGAAGGATATCCTGTTACGTTCCGAACTCGAGGAGATCCAGGTTCAGAATCCCAGTCGATTTAAGCTGTGGTATACGCTGGACAGGGCACCTGAAAGTAAGATATAACATGCTATCTCCACTGAAACCTTAAGTTATGAGTATTAATGCATGCGTTTGGTGGGAGGTGTGTTATGCCACGTGCATGCTTCTGGGCTCCTTTCTGGCTTAATGAATTGTGTGTTTATGCCTCTCTGAATGCATTCAGTAGCATCCTTCTTCACGTAGTGATGCACATCAACTCTAGACGTAATCGGGCAGTGTTTCCAAAGCTATGAAACTCAGCTCAGGTGAACAGTAGAGTAATGTTCCTCCCATGACTACAACTGAATATTTACCATTATTTACTCCGATCCAAGGTGACCTTCCTTTCTCCTTTCCCACGGATATAAATCTAAGATGTTACCTTATTGTCTCATGTTTAGAGCATGCATTAAGGCAGCTGCTGTGGGGTGTCTGAGGCACTGAATCTCACTGAGGTGCGGCCAAATGCAGGCTCTTACCTAGCTCTCATTGCAGGGAAGTTCACGATAGCTGATCTTTCAAGGGAGGAAAGGAAAGGAGTCAGGGTAGCACTTGTGCAGTTACTGTGCAGTGGTAGCTGCTTCCTAGGCAGTGGAATTGCTTTTGCATTAACAGTGTTTCTCAATGAATATATTGTTCTAACTCAGTGCAGTCCAGTTTTAAAGATTACATGGCATGTAGCTGGCTGACCTGTGTGCATACCACCCTCAGCCATGCAACTCTGATAAAGAGAAGGCTAAAAAGTACTGCCTAGGGCCCCCCTCTCTTCTCTAAGCTTGTCATGCCCGACCACATCAGTAGATTGACAGTCGTATTTACAGTGGTAATTTGGGGCAGAGAAGGAAGAGGTGTATCCCTTCACCTACCTTGTGGCCAAGAACACACCTCCCATAGGGTGGTGGGGAGGGGCCGCAGACCCCAAAGTCTATTGTTATCATGTCATCTTCTGCAGTTAGTTTTCTCCCTGACTCAGCCCCTGAATTTATGGGGCAGCTTGGATTCAAGTAACAGCAATGTTCTTTCTCTTTGATATTTGTGAATTGTGAATGGAACAGGATAGAGCTGATAAAAATTCCTCCTTAGTCTCTCTCAACACGGTTGTGCAGAGTTTCACTGCCTTACCTGAAAACAGATCGAAGCTGGAAATTTTGGATAGACTGGGGCAAGAAAAATCTGTCAGTCTCATTGTGCCAAAAGCTTTGGGCCAGCAGTTTTTTGCATCCAGGGCTGGGAATATGATAAGTAAACCTGTATTAACTGACTAGTTAACCTACTGTTAACTGGCTAGCCCGATGGGGGTGCCTGTGGGGAAGAACTTCATTGGCTAGAGTTCTTGTAATGAACATGTGAACAGTGGATTAAGGAGGATGGATGTTGTTATTTCATAAAACCAGAGCTGCAAAGATTCTTACTCTGTTCACAGCTGTGTCTGAGATTTCCTTGGGGCTTTTAGGAAGCTTGTTTAAAAGCCCTTGTTTTCTCCATACATCAGTTTTCCACCTTAAAAAACAGGATGGCAGTGCTTCCATGACATGTAGTTGTGCTGAAGATGCAGGAGTGGAGTGTGCAAGTACTACAGGCTAGAATGTCCCTTAAAAATCAGCTCAAACTGCATTGCTAAGTGACTTGCATCTTTCTTGTCCTGCCTTTGTCCTCTTTCCCCACTTTCATTTTTTAACAGATTGGGAATACAGCCAAGGATTTGTGAACCAAGAGATGATCAGAGATCACCTGCCCCCGCCTCAAGATGATGTTCTGATCCTTATGTGTGGCCCTCCTCCAATGATCCAGTATGCTTGCATTCCCAACTTGGACAAACTGGGGTACACCAAGGAGATGAGGTTCTCCTTCTAAAGAAGACTGATAATTCAGTGATCTTGTGCGTAAGGGAAGAAAAAACATTTTATGGGGAACAAGACAAAGTTATACAAGTGGTTGATGCGCAGTGCTGAGAAGCTACATTTAGGTTAAAATTGCTTCAGTTTTTCTAAATCTCTGGCAAGTAAGACACTCAAGCCTAACTGTTCTCAAATTGTACTCTGTTTTGCACAGAAACAACTGTATTGCAGAAAGGCAGTGATGCCTATTGCTCAGTTACATTGTACTTGCCATGGCTGTCCTATGGAAAGATTATATTCCATCTCAAGGAAGGGAGGTATGGCTTCTTAGGACGCTGAACACTGGTTTATACTTTATTAGCACTGTAGTCAAATGGCAGTGATATCCTGCTTCCCAACGCTGTGCATACCCAGTATTTTCCTTGGAATGAAGTATAAAATTATATGGAATGTGCTGGATTATTTATCTTGCTTATGCCAAACTTTAATCATTACAGAGCTTTTACACCATGAAGGCCAGGAGTGTTTGCCTTCTATGCATAATCTTTGCAACATCAGAAGCTTCAAAGATGACTATTCAGTTGGCAGATGGCGATTAACTGTTTATGACCGAAGTCATGCAATTTACCATGTTAATCAAAATAGAGAGGTAGACATCAATACAAAATTTGTTTCCTGTGTATTTTAGAATGGCCTCTCTTTGGTGCACTGTTCCAGCTGTCCACTTTGAGAAGCCATTCCCTTTCCCAGGCAATGAAAGGAACTATGGAAAGCAGAAGGCTTTATTCGCTGTTCCCCAAGTAGCTGGGAATCTTTGCTTGTACGTGTTTTGAATACTGCAAAAAATACTAACAACTTCGGTATTTACTTTTAAATAGCAGAAGGTGCTGTAGGAGTACAAAAGCAGTTCTACGTGTCCCGTGCAGGAAAAATGTCTGGGTGACAACGGGGTCTGTCCATTTGGTTTCCTGTTACCCATAGATTAGTTTGGAACAAGAGGAGCTCAGCACTCGTCGCTAGAGTGGGTTTCAGTAGGTAGTCCAACTTTGGATGTGGTGAGCAGGAGCCTGCATCTCACCTGCATCTGCATAACTTGCTCAGGCAAAACTCCAAATCATTTGCTTGAAAAGGATGCATGGGAAAAGCCTTAAGTCACCTAACTGACAGCAAACTCAAATGACTCATTGAATCTAAAACTGTTTCTTAGATGCTGTTTATTATAGCTCTCATTTATTTTTTTAATTTTCTTTTTTTTTTTACAGCAGCTTTTTACCTAATCTGCAGTAAACTTAAAGCATCTTGACTGCAGAATTTTCTGCTTCCAAACAACAGAGATGCAACTGAGATTAAAGCTGTCCTGCAAGGAATCTGTGAAACTAAAAATCTTGTTCTGGTGATGGAAAACAGAGCGATTTGAAAGGATGTTTAGTGAAATGCAAAGTAATGTGGATGCTAGTTAGCTACAAGTATCAGTGTATAATATCATTTTTTTTGAAGATTCGGGTAGGTATTTTGAAGCTGTAACTTGCCATGTTTCCTTTTGGGCTTGTACAACAGATGGGTATTATGGATTAAACGGTTAATTTTCAGTGTGAATTAAATGGAGAAAGAGATATTATGGTTTATTTAAGGAACTTGGAATGGATAACGCTATTATTAAACTTATTTTATTAATTAGACTGCTGCCTCTGAGATCTTGAATTTTTGGTGTGTGCTTCTGAAACTTCTTTTTTAATACCATGCTCCAAAGTTTCAGTAAGACTCAAGTTTCAGTCTGTCTTGTTATAAGGCAAAACGTGGAAATTTGAGCATAGTTATCTTACTGTTGGTTTATATCAGTGTGGGATAAACATAGATTTTTTTTTTTTTTATGACTGCATTTAATGAAGTGTACTTGTCAAAAATAGCTAGCTGGTTAAGCATAAACTGTTTTTGTATTACTTATTCTACATATTCAATTACTGGCTTTTTTCACATCTGTTTAAGAAATAAAATATCTTGCAGGTGAATCACCTGTGTGTTATTTAGCACATCATCTTCATAGATGGCTCTTCAGCCTCTTAAGAGACACACTCCAATTGTAAAACACTCTCTAGAAAGTGAAAATTCAAAAAAAGTCTTTTTGCTTTCATTACCTAAGTGCTTATCTATCTGTTTTTTTTGCCTGAGTTTGGTGAAGACTGCTCTATTTGGATGCCCTCTTAGGGAGTAAACGTGCTTCTTCTGCTCCCCCCAGCCACTCCAGTCTATTCTTATTAATTAGCTTGATTTTGTACATCTTCCTTGTGAACATGTAGCTCTTTCTTTTATGAAAAAAAGGAGATTTTCATATAATCTACTGAAATAAAACTGAGTCCTAGTCCCTTTTGTTTTATGGTGAACAACAGCATTTACAACAGCATTTAAACAGATAAGTCATAAATGTCTTTTTTTTTTTTTGCTACTTTTATGATTCTTTGAGCCAATTCATCTATCTTACAGAAAATGTGAGCATTCCTCTAGTTTTCTGACAAGACGGGCCGAGTGCTTCCAACCTCTTTTACAATTTTACACAGCACCCGAAGAAACTTGAACTTCCTGCGTTTTGTGGAAAGTTGACCAAGAGAAATAGGATCAAAAGGCCTGCTGCTGTTGCTTTGCCTCCACCAGAGGTGGGTCCCCTTCGCTTACTGCTGTATAGAAGGAGATAGATAGGCCTCACTAACAGTGAAGGCACATACATTAGGATTTTTTCCCTGAGGTACTGTGTCCTATTTGCAGCAGAGGATCTGAGAGGAAGGAGGTAAGAAATGAGCGGTCTTTAATCTCACTCCTTCAGTTGAGTCATGGGCCTGTGCTGTTCCCTGTGGCACAGCAGACCCAGCTGTTTTTGCCTCCCAGCGCCAGCTCTGCAGCTGGCTTGGGTGGGGAGCGGGGGTCAGCCTGGGCCTGTGCCACTGCTGCAAGCAGCTCTCAGGTTTGGGGCCTTGCATAGGTGTGGGGCAGTAGCCATTTGTCCTCATTTGCCCTAGTTGCCCTGGCAGTAACCAGTTGCTCCTCATCTATCCTGGATTCCTGCTCCCCACCCCCCCACTCCCCCTGGCCTTGTTACTGCGGGGGGCTCTGTATGCTTTAATCTTTTAACGCAGAGTGTGACAGTTAAGTACCGGTGGTTTAATAGTGTGCTTATCCATGTTTTCTGGTAAAAATAACTGGGTTTATGGAGAGGAGCCTCATAGTGTTGCTGAACCTTTCTCCTCTCAAACCTGCCTTGGAGAGCAGGGAGGGAGGAATAGGAGGAGCGTGGCTTGGGCAGTTGGAAGAGCAGCCAGGCTTTCCCTTCGCAGGGAAGAAGTTTGTAACTTCTTACACGTGTGTGAGGTGGGAAGGGGAATGGAGTAGCAGGGATATGCAATTTTCCTTGCTCAAACAGCCTAATGGGATAGGGGTAGTACTGCTCAGTACTGCAGTGCTTCTGGCGATCTTGCCCAGCTTGCCAACCCACCGTTTGAACTAACAGAATAGGGCACTGTTTTCAAACAAACATCTGCCTTGATCAGCATGTAGCACTCTTAATATTTTACTCACAAGTCAGTCTGCATCAGTCTTTTCCTCAGTCTGGCCTGCACTTGCCTCCCTGCCATGTGCTGTAAGAGCTTACATGTGCAGCTAGTTAAAGCGCTTCTAATGAAATCTGTTGCAAGTGTTCACATGTGGTAGACTTTATCCACCAGCTACTGCCCCAGCCCCTTGAGCAGGCCATTCCCAGAGCACTTCATCCAGTTCCCAAGAGGACTTGGGCAGCTCTTCCCCTCCCTTCCCAGCCCCATGTTTCCCATTCTCCAGGTCCGCTCTTGCCAGCAGGAACTGGAGAGACTGAGAGGGGAGGGAAGAGGCAGAGTGGAAGCAGCAGCCGAAAGGCTCAGGGTGCTGAAACCGAGGGCTGGCTGCAGGCAGGCCCTGGGAGGAGAGGCTGAGGGACACCAGCGCTGGAGCTTAAGGACCCTGCTGCAGCATACAGCTGGGGTGTGTGGAGGGGAGGGCAGGGCTGTGGCAGAAGCCTTCCCTGGGTAACAAAGCATACACAACAAAGGGCCAGATCATCTCTGCTGAGTCAGAAACTCCTGGTTAATCCAGCCTGCTGCTGCATTGGTTAGATCTCTCTAGTTTGTACCTCCTGAAATATTCTATGCAGCAGCTGTGTTAACCCATCTGGTGGGTTTATTCCCTCCCTCTCCCACCTCTGTTGTATTGCCAGACTCACTACTCAGACATGAGATTGTGCCCCATCCCAAAAGAGACGAGCCCCTGCTTGCCCAGTTGTGATGGGCATTTACAAGAATGTGTTTTCATGTTACCTGGAAAACTCTGAAACGAGCTCCTGGAAACTTGTATGTAGGTTCCTGCTCCCCAGGCAGCAACTGCAGTGGTGTTGTATATACTATAGTTGCATGTACTAATGGTATTAGTACACCTATCGGTACAATACCATTATGTATATGGTGGCACAATTAAGTTGACTGATAGTCTCTGAGGGCAGGCAGCCAAACAACAGACGTTCTGTATGACATGAGGCATTTCGCTAACAATATGGTGTATTTGGTTGAACCAGTATTCTGTTTCAAAACCATGCTGGCCTTCTAACTCTGTGATTTGGGGCCTCGACCACTATGCAAACGTGTATTTCATGGTGTATTTTTCTTATCTTGCAAGCTGAAAACTCAATAAAGCCAAAACAACTCTAGCTGGTTTGTTTGGGAAGTCTGGTTTGGAGATAAAAATCAGAACTGCTCCAGCACAACAGAAGTAGTGTGAGTACTCAGTTCAGCTGGGGGAAAAAAAAACACATTTGTGTGTATAAATAGCTCAGTTATTGTTTCTTGGAGGAGAAATACTAAGCATGTATCTTAAGCATATTTCTTATATTAAAAAAGAGTGAGGTAGGGGAGTTTTGCTGCTATTATTTTCTTGATCTGAAGAATTACCCAGCTAAGCTAACTAGCCAATTGCAGCAGCTGCTGCAAGCTTCCTGTTTGGACAGAAACCTTTCTTCTCTGCTCTACCCTACATGAGCCTTCTCGCTCATCCTCAGCAGTTTCATGCATTAACCAAACCATTCATTAACAAATGCTGTCAAAGAAAGCAAAAAACAAAATTATCTTTGCTTTTACTAACACTATTTCATGAATTACCATTGGATTAAACAGCCTGCGGTCAGCCATTTACCTGGTAAAATGTATGTTCAGTTGCAAAAGGTATGGCTGTGAGTCACCTGACCTGAGAGTACAGTTCATCTTGGCTGAATAAATGAACAAAGTCAAATTTACATTGTAAATACTTTGTTGTGCATCTTCACCATTCTTATTAGTAGGACAGATTCTTGGCAAATTCCTACCGTCTCTGAGGGCCTGGGCTCCTGAGCTGAAACCTGCAAGGCAACCAGATGAAGACTGTGATGCACCCTGGGAAATGTAGACTGCTTCTCAAAATAAGGGCCAAACCAACACGGCTTATCTGAGGTATCAGAGTAACTTTGGGGATATGAACTGAATGGCCAGCTGCCCTCATGTGCAACTTTTAATCACTTTAGTAATTCAAATTCTATTTATTCACATCATTTTGATTTTCCCCTTTGCTTCCCAAACTCCAAAAAGTATGAACAAGTTTTCCAGAGACAGCATTCTTACAGAATTGAATAGATTAAGAGGCAATTCCTAACAAGCACCAGCTATAAATAGGATATCAATCTAATAGAAAATCACAGTTTTTCTGCTGGTCACTTATAAAACAATCAATGCCACCAGAATTCTGACAATGCTGTTTATTTGAACAGGCCAAAAAAAAAAACAAAAAACCTTCCTGAGTGGTCATATCCTCACTGTCTCATGTATCTCTATACCTCTATGTATGTGCTTTCTTTGTAAAATACCAGAATTATCCACTCTGTCCTACCAAACCCGTGCTACACGCACAAAAACACAGTGAAGCCAGAGCTGTAAAAGCAACTCTAGGTCAATGAACTATTTCAAGAATAGAAGGCCTCCCCTCACCCCACCACGTCATATTTGTGACTGGCCAAAAATTTCAGTTCCTTTCCTATTTGCTTCTATTCTCAGTTCACCTATTAGCTTCAGTTCAGACTTCATGGAAATACAAGACTGCTGGCATTGCTGCTGAGGCTTCCTTATGCCTTTTTTTCTTTATAAGCGTGTATGTAACACCCTTTATTTCTCAGTTGTCATAGGCTGACCATTTCATAAATAACTCAAATAGTAAAATACAAATGACATTTTGAAACTGTTGTTGGTCTGTTAAATAAAAACAAATGAAATTATAAGAAAACTACATGCAATGGAATTTTGTGGCCACAGAAACTATTGCCACATACCAAACAAAGTTACTTCAGAATAAGCAGCTATGGTACCACAGTGGCCCATTAAAAAAAAAAAAAGTCTGAATTTACCAATTTGAAAATTGATTAGTTTTTTCCTTTTTCCGGTTAACAGCTTCTGAAACTCTTGTCAACTGAAACCAAAGGGAAATGGAATAACTTGCTACATAAAAACAATTAGCTGCTAAAATAAATACTGAAGCAAAGTCAAAGTGAAATAATTATGCCTCCGACAAACTTATGTTCAGCTACTGTAACTGGCCAGGTGCCTGCTTACGTTGATGTGAAAGGCAAAACTCCCACTGACTTCACCAGGGCCAGGTTTTTGTTCCAGTTTGTTAATTTCCCCAACTTTAATTTAACAACAACTAGCACTGCTTTTTGCTACATGTTGACCTGACACAGCCACTTAGAAAGAACAGGATTTGCAGCTGGGGCCAATGCTGCCCATGTGTTTCTGCAACACAGTCACAGCACTGAGAGTCTTCTGCAACAATCAGCCTAGCACTGATTTATTTTTACTAGGTAGGTACTAGTCTTGTCATACAGCCTATTTCTAGCTCAAGGAAGGGTTTTTTTTCCTCCTAATTATGAAACAGCTCACTCCTCCAGAACAGCATTATTAAGTCAAGGCCTGTATTGGCCTTTGCACTCATGCTGCATTTTATGATTAGTAGCGCTACATTTTCATTATTACGGCCTCAACCTCCTATGGAAAAAAAAGCTGCCTTTTAATGCATACAGTAAATAAAGGCTGAGTCAAGCCTGGCAAGAACTCCCAAAGGCGTGGGGGGGTGCTAAAGCTTTCATTGAGTTCAGGAAAGACTTAATGTATGTCTGGCATACAAAACATTCTGGAAAAATTATGTGCCTTCTATAAACACATTTTCTGGCAGGTACATCCTGTTGTTTTAAAACCTGGAGCAACTGAATCATCTTGGCTTCTGCTGATCCCGAGGCATGATCTAAGGGAATGTGATCGGCGGAGGGGGAAGGTGGGAAACGAGGGTGGAGGGGATGGAGATAAGCCATCATAGGCGAGGAAGATATCAGCCCCAAGCGTCCTTTGGTAAGCAAGGACACAAAACCATTGCTGTTAACAAGCAGGTTAGAGAAAGTTTATATACACATCATTGTCTGCCTCATGCAGTCCATTTTTTTTTTTTTTTTGCAGAGGCCATTTTCTAGCATGTCTCTTGTGGGCAGGAAGCTGTGAGTACTCGTGAAAAATTGCCTTAGAGCATTCTTGCCTGACAGGCACCACTTTTGCTTCTTGGCAGTGCTGTCTAGCATATGCTGTGGATGTCCTTAGGGTTTCCTGGCACACCAAACACGATGAACAAGCCCAGGCAGAACATCCCAACAGGTGGCAGAACTCAGCCAGCCTCTCAAATCTGCTTTTGTTTTGGAAAAGTTCATCTGCCAGCATGGCTTCCCTGCCGCCCTCATGAAACACGGCAACCAGTCCACTTTCATACGGAAAAGCTCAGCCGTCTGTAAGGGCAGCACAGCAAGCTGAAGTTTGATTTGCTTGTCAGAGTCCAGATCCAAACCACCCCAAACAGCGAGGCTTGCTGCTTGGTCATTTTGCTGGTTGTGACTGATATGCTCCTCCACTCCCTTTTCAACACAGAGGCTGATGAAGTTGATCAAAAAGATCTTGTTCTGTGTGTGTGTGTGTGTGTGTGTGGCAGAGGCAGATTGGACATTGCTCTGAGGATCTACAATCCAATACAGTATCATAACTTTTTCTGGCATGGAATCCTTACTGCTTTTGTTCCTGCCTTACCAGACACCTGGCATGACACCTTTAATCTTTGCTTTTTTTGTGTGTGTGTGTGTGTGTGTGTGTGTGTGTGTGTGGCAGATTGGACATTGCTCTGAGGATCTACAATCCAATACAGTTTTTCAGCCTTTGAGATGCATGGACCACACCTTGGCTGAACACTTCACAGATGATTGATTACTAGAATTTCAGACTTGTTCTCCTGCTTGTCTTCATGAGATACTTCCTGGCCTATTTTCATTTCAAATGAAGATCTTTCTGCGCCTCAGGGAAGTCCCTTCCTTTTCCAGGGAAGGCTCTGTAGTCACTGGGCACATGCATACCCAGTAAATATGCTCAGTGGTTATTACCTGTCACCTTCTAGATAAAAGTCATGCCAGTGGCAGAGCTGAGCAGTGTTGACAAGCTGCTGTTCTGGAGGGCAGACGCAGTTTCTTCTGGGTGTGCTCCTTTGCAGCTCACTGAACGAGGACCAGCCCAACAGGTGGAGGGGCTCTACCACCTACTGAACTCTTCTGTGTTTGTTTTCCTTAGTTGATTCCAGCACCATTTGTTTAACTGCTCTTATCTCATGCTACTTCTAGGACTGTTATAAAGAAACCATTTTATTGGCACTGGGTGGTTCCTAGGCATGAATCAATTAATTATTGTTATTTTAAGTCACTAGGAGACGTGTTGAGCATCGAAACCTGAAGCCATCTACAGAGTGCATGAAATAGTGTGGTTGGCTGTTTTGGCAGGCTGTTTGCATGTATTAACTAACTGACATGAATGTCAGTGGCATTAACTGCGCCGTGACAATGCACATGGACGCAGTTGGACTTTCTGGCTCCCTTAAGAAGCTTGTACTATTGCCACATTTAATTAGATGATCCCAGGGAACAATGGCTAGTCAATGCACCACCACACAAGACTATCAAATACATCTAAAAATAAACAAGCTTCCTAACCTTAAAAAAAAAAAAATGCAGTCGTCCTCACTGCAAAAGCTGGCACATGGGTTACTGCTGCAGCACGCTGCAGGCAAGAGCCTTGTTCAGTTCTGGGTGCTGCTGGCGCCAAATTCTCCATTGCAGTGTCTTCATCTGCCCAAGATCTCACCAGCGTTCTTGAAGAACAGACTCTGTCCTGCTGCAGCTGAGCTCTTCCTCCTCCTCTTCATTTTGAATGAATGAATGAAAAAAAGCTATGAGGATCTCTCTCTTCTGCTCCCTTTCCCCCAATTGCTCAAAAACCTCCCATTTGATTTCTTCCCTTTTGCTTGCAGATGCCCTTGCGTTCCTACCACCACCAGAGAAACTCCTCAGGCGCACAGGCTTGTCGGTCACTCCTCTGCCGTAGCATCTGCCCGCTCCAGGAGACAGATTACATCCTACACTCTCGTGTTTTTTCTTCCAGAGTGAGTTCTTCAAATGTGTCACAGGGCCAGTCTCCACTCCAGAGCTCCTTTGTGATCTCCTCCCAGCTACAATTAAGGGACACACCACTTTTTCCCTATTCTGTTATCTTTGATCTTAACTCCAGTTTCTATTCCTTTCTTCTTATGGGTCCTCAGCACCTAATACTCTCTCCTTCCTGGTATATTGGCTCCAAATATATTAGCAACTCCAAAGGTTTTGCTTCTTTTCACAGCTGCCTCAAAGAGCACTATCTTCGGTTGGGAGGAAGAAGGTGAAGCAACTCAATAGGAAAAGCTCTTGCTGCAAATGAAAAATGCTAAAAATACTAAGGTGAAGCATGAAGTATGCACTAAACATTCACAATGACAAAGCAGGGCAAGGTATAGAAACATGCAGGTAAATTAAGTGCAACTTTTGTCCTAGAGGGAATACCAGGATGCAACAATACCTAACGGATGGAAATCAGAAGAGTTATTCCAGAGGTTATTCCAGATTTTCTTCTCCATTTCTAAATATGTATGTATTTTAAGGGAACAGAAAAATGCTGGGCTTTAGCTCCACAAGTTTTCTGTGGGTATGTATCTTCTCTCTGCTTTTACTCATCACTGTAAAAAGACAACGAATTATTTATTACATTCTAGCTTTCAAAGTGCTTATTTTGTGTGTACAGAGAAATGTTGATCTTGTGCCCAGGAACAAAGAACAGAAGGAAAGAAAGGAGTTCTGTATTTTCTGGTCTGTTATTTGGCCTACACTGGACAAAACATTTATCATCATTTGTGCTCGCGTCCTAGCAACAAAACAGAGTTTGGGGAAGCTTAATTCCTGTTGGGCTCCTCTGTAGAAAGACTAAATATAAAAACAGTTTTGGCAGCCGATGTCCGCTGCAGTACCGTGTTCAACAGACCGGGTGCCCACCTAAACGCAAAGAACGAGGGGCTGCCAGATGAGCTCCAATGAGCCCCTGACAGCGGGGTCGTCTGCGCAAGCACGCCCCGCAGCTGTGAGCGCCAGACGGGGTGCGCACTCCTCCATCCGTGCAAGGGAACCTGACGCAAGGCCGCTGCCGTCACGTGCCCACACACAGAGGCTGCAGCACAGCAGCCTTTCCGCTGACCGCTGCACGGGGCTGGGGGACGGACACTGGGGAGCGGAGACAGCCTCCCCTTTACGGCTGTGATGACCTGGGCTGGTCTCTTGGTTCCCGTGAGGACTCGCTGGGGAGCGGACAACGGGCAGCTGAGAAGCACTTTCTCATCACATGCTTTGTAACAGCCTAAGCTAATTCATATCTGGATCTCAGAAACAAGTAAAAAAAGACTTGGGGGAGTCACCTCCTTAGCTGACAGCTGACTTTTTCTGCAGGCATCACACACAAACAAACAAAGGAATGCACAAAGCCTCTGCAATTTTGTCTGCCCTTCTCCCCTCTTTGTCTTTCAAAGAGAAAAAACAAACCAAAAAAACCCCAAAAGAGCTTCCTAGGAAATTAAGAAGAAAAAAAGGGATACAATTAAAAAATACTAGCTTCAGAAACATTTGGCACTTTCCAAAGATTTTATTGGATTTTACATGGCAATACACAGTAGTTATGCTGCCCTTTTCAAATACACACAAATTAAAATACCACAGCGGCATCAACTGTGTGCACACGTGCATGTTAACTTCCTGACTTTATCTCTTGCTTTCATATTACAACCCCATAAAAAAATATCCAAGTTCAGATGATAGGTAGCTTTGAAGGGATGACCTGTTTTCTAACCAGCAAATGCCGAGAAGGATTGTTCTGAATAGAGTTCTGTTCACATTGGACTTAAAAACAAATGTTCATATGCAATTGTTGATGTGCTTGTTAACAGCACTGGATTTAAATGACATCTTTCTGAGAATATTTCTCTGTGGCTATTTCAGAATGTAACACTGTGTCACTAACCTCTTTTTTTCCTGTGAATATCCAGTCGCCATGTTCACTAGCCAGAGAGTCTGCTAGAAGAGTGAATATACGGGAACGCTTTTGCTCAGAAGCCCACACCATGACTTCTGGTGCTTCTGCAGCATTTGGCAGAGCAGAGCCCTGAGCCCCAACCTACATGTAAATAACAACCATATTGCAGAGTATCCACAGAAAGCAAGCCGTGAATTTGTATCACAAGTATTTGCACCTGAAAGCTGTCACTAAGCATAGAATGGGAGATGTCTACCTAAAATAGCTCAAAGAGCACCTGCAAAACAGCAGAGGAATAAACAAATTACTTGCAGGTATTGTTTAGTCAGGAATTTTGAATAATGCCTCAGTTGCAGTCTTCTTGTAGACAACTCATAAGTGGCATAAACTATTTTCTGAACACATTATGGATTGTTTGCCTGGCTCCAGTTATGAAAGAGAAAATGGCAGCACTTGTTATTATATATAACACAACGGGTCCTCATCAAATTTTTCGTCTTTGTACATAAATAATAGCCTACACTGCACATCCTTCAAAGAACCAGACTGGTAATAGCTTATTAGCTCATAATGATATAATGGTAGTGTATGTCTCCAGTCCACCTCAACATCTAATGGGAGCGCTTCTGAAACGCCTGAAAGAATCTTTCCTCCTTTCCTAACTTTGGTAACAGTATTTCAGGAATACCAAAATCAGCAGAAATCTAACATCCTTTAAGCTATGTGTCAAACGCACTCTCCCTTCCAACAATAACAGCGATGAAACAAGTGACAAACTCTTGTTAAAGCAAAACAACACTGCAAGGAACAATTCTAGCTGTGCTTTCTTCCTGTACAAAGCAAAGCAGCTTCATGCCGTTGTGCTAAAATACATGCAACATTCAGCACCATACAAATGACCAGTTCAACAGAGTGACTTTTTTGTTTGCTTTTGGCTAGGACACCTTGTAATACGGAAAGCCTGACAAAAGATATCCACTGGCTAGTTAAGATTTTTGAAATCTGATCGTCAAAGCAGAAAAGACTTGTGCTTTAAGAAGGTAAAATGATGAGCAACATGTTTGATATTTGACTTTTTGAGGAAAAGCCCCACCTTAGGTTTAATATTATGAAATAATATATTTCCTATACATTTCTCTATATAACTTTATTTTTTTGCAACTATACCATCTTTACGTTAGTCACAGCACAGAAATATCCCTTCCATATGCAGGGAGTACTCTCAACTTCAAGAGGAAAATTCTCCAAAATATTTTTAAGTCATAGAAGTGTTAATAATCTTGTCTGAATGCTAGAACTGCTGCTGGGAACAAGAAATAAGATGCTTTTAAATCTGCAGTTACTGAAAGAGTCACTGCAAGAAGAAATGTACTTTTATAATTGCTTCACCCCAAATGGAAGATCATTTAACTGTGCACTTTGCAAAAAGGAAAGAGAGCAAACAGTTCCAAAGGTCAGCCTGCCTTTTCCAGTAACCAGCTGGTATGCAAACTGGCATATTCTTTTTACAACGTTTTCCCCTTCCCCCACACCTCAAACTTTCCATCACTCTACATCACAAAATTTAAATTTCTGCTTTTATATGTACTTCATATACTTTTTTTTTTTTATAAAACAGTATAAAAATAAGAGCAACACTTAAGAGTTACCTGGGAGATTATGCACGAATAACTAAAATCCTATGTTGGATAGTGTGGGAAAGGCAGAACTGGTATTTGTGCTGGACAAATCCATTTGAAAAGGAGAGCAGTGACATCTTTTTCAGCTGAGACCCTAAAGAAAGCTGATGCATGACATCTACAGATGCAGTATTTCTACCTAACATCTTGTTTTATCTTGGAACAGGATGAAGGAATACCTCAGGAAATGAATAAGCAAAAGGAGCATTATGATACCATGTAAATTTAAATGCAACACTCTGAAACATATCACCAAGTTTGTACATTAAATATAGTAAAAACAAGTAGCATTCACCAGTGTCTGGGTGTTTCTCATGGCAACTTTAAAGTAGGCACCTTTTTTTTTTTCTTTTTTTTCTTTTTTTTCCTAAATTCTCCACCCCCAATATCACTTCTAACAAACAGAAGCAAGAGCAATGTAATGTACATGATCTGTTGCCCATCACATATAATGATGATGTTTCTTGCACATAGGAAAGTGAGCATTTATCAGTGCCCGGAGGTTACTGTCACACGTTGGAGTCCTCATCTGTTATACTGGTGCTAGGAGAGCGAGTCATAAAGTCTTTAAACATTTCATCTTCTTTTAACATGTGCTAGAAAGGAAATGAGGGAAGAATCAAGGTTCAGGCCCTCATAACTAAAATCAACCCAACTAGAAATTGCCTGGGCTTGTGCCTGGCAGCAAACGCTGCCGTGAGCCCTGCTGGCCATCACTTTGTTCTCTCCCTCCGGACTCGCCCTCTCTGCTTTTTATGGCTGCACTGTAACCTCCCTCAGTCAGGGGATCAAGCCAGCCACAAAATAATCCACCAACAAAACAAACAGTGGGAAGGAGGAGGAGATCTTTAACCCACATTGGTTCCCTGATCAATTTATGGCTCAATCCCAGGCCTGCTGGCACAAAGAGCTCGCAGAGCGCAGGCTGGGGAGTCCCTTCTGCTGAGAAAACGCGCAGGAGCCCTTAGTTGGCAACTCACCACCCACAGTGCACTATAGCCGTGTGCCGGCCCTCTGCTCTGCCAGGAACTCCTCGCCCCAGGAGCTGCAGGGTTAGGCACTACGAAGGGTTCGCTAGCACAGGGCAGTGGTCTCCAGCCCCCCAGGAGGATGTGCAGCCCCCCAGGAGGACCCTTTAATGTTTCTGTCCCTGTGAGAAAAAGGATCTCATCCGACCCCTTGTTTGATGAGGCTTCACTATACCCCTAATTTGCACAGTATTTTACATCCTGCAGTCCTCAAAGACCAGTGGTGTTTCACCTCGTCTAAACACTCAGCGAGTCCCACTGTGCACTGGAATCCATCAGAGCAATCACCCTCAGAACTACAAAATTCAGCTGCTTAACAGAGCCAACCCACCACTAACAGTGAAGAAAAGTGGCACTTAAATAGCAGTCCTGAGAAACACAATACCAGAGACTGCCAAGATTTTTGGACTAATCTTAGAAAAACAGATATCTTATTCCACAGACCCCACTTCTAAGGCTTACTGTCAAGTTGTTGATGCCTTCAGAAAATGCTCCTATTTGCCTCACTGTCCCTTCTGAATCTTCCATCTACAAGAAACAGAAAATGGGAGACATCAATTTTGTGCTACTACACAAAATGGTGTGCTTGATTACACCATGCATGGCCAGAGCAAAGGAGGAGCGTGTCCTGTCAGGAGGGAAGATGACTTTTATAGCAGAGTAGATCCTAAAGACGCTGCACTCACAGCTTGAACTTTCTTGTGTCAAGAGACACATTTGTTAGTGGTGCTGTGCAACTGCGAGAAGTCAGGGCTTTCATGGGCCAAATCAAAGGGCACTGAAAAAGGAAGGTTTTCTATCAAACCTGACAAAACAGACACGGACTCCAAACTGTTAGAAGTGGTTTACCTGTTCCAGCCTGTCCAAATCGTCGTCGTCATATACTCGGATATCCAAGCCAGACTTAAAACCCTTCTTCGACACACTTCCAGACGCCTGCCCCAGTTCCATAGGACACACATACTCTTCCACATCATCCTGCTTCTTCTTCCTCAGACTCCCAAAATTGCTGAAGGCAAGTTTCTTTGGCTTATAAATGAAGGAAAAGTTGACAGGAAGTTAGACAGCTGGCAAAGAATTATCAGATCTCTTACTCTTGCATGTGGTGTTTCAATGCAAGCAGAAGAGGAGGGGTCAAAACCCACTGCTCTCCTAACAAAAATCTTCTGTATAAGTCATATTTCACAACAGTTATATCTGAAAGAGCAAGATATGTAACCTCACTCTACCGTGTTAGAGAACAGCATTTAAAGGACCCCAAACGAGGTCAGAATGCTATTGCACTAAGCTACAAGCATATACATAGTAAGAGACAGTCTTTGTCCCAAACACCTTATAGTACGGAGAGAAGGACTACACACAAGAGCGCTACCTCTTGTTTGCACACGAGGAGCTGGGATGCAGCGTGTTCACGGCAGACACAGGAGTCAACCCCCGATCGACTGACTCCAGCTCTAATGCTTTCATTAGTAAACCAGCCCCTTTCTTAGATCTGACTGAATTGCACCCTAATTATGGATAAAACCAGCACACTGAAGAGCTTAATGTCTGCCTAGAAGCTCACGCACAGACCCAAAACAAGTGACCTACCTTTATTTTGGCAGTTGCTGTTAAGAGGACGTAGTCTGGGGACTCCATGGCTTCACGTTTCTGCTGCTGAGCCTCCTGACCAATAAGTAGGTTGAAATGAGTTGCCAAGTGCCGTCTCAGCAGCGTCTTGTTTGGTGGGATGTTCAGCAACTGTGCCATGGTTTCTACATTGAAGCGAGGCTCTAAAACCTATTAACCAGACCACAGAGAACCCAGCTGAAGTCTTTACTGTCTGATGAGGTCTCAAGTACATCAACAGGTATGCCTCTCTTCATTTGGTCACTTTAAGGTAGTTTTGGGGGTTGGTTTGTATTTTAGAGGAAATACACAACAAACGGACAAAAGAGCATTAACTAGTTACAGGATTCATAAAATGCTGCCTCCCGGATTTCTTTCTCGAGTTCTAAATAGGAACAAACTAGCAGGTAAGAAGAAAGGAACAGATAAAGCAATTAGCTCATGTGATATGTGAAGCTGTCACAGAATATTTACCCATCATCCTCTTTTAATTCTGGAAAACGTAGCTAGAGGAATGAGGGAAAACAAGCAGTCTTAAACATTTGGAGAAGGGATATAGTTCTCAAACACCACAATAAGCTTCTGTAAATATAAGTCTCTTGCCTGGAGCATCTGAGGCTAGAGCGATTAAAGACAATACTGGTCCGGCACTGAAATTACAAATTTTACAGAAGAATCGACTTCCTCACACATGAAAAGCACATCCAGGTCTAGGAAGGAAGATGGTGGCTATTTAACAGCTTGATAGCAGTGCACAGCATCATAGGGCAAGAGGTGAAAAATGCTGTACCTAAATTAAACTGTGAGGGGAATGCAGGTAGTCAAACCCACTGCTGCCCAAACTAATATTGGCCAAGACGTAATGTCTTTTAAACAACAGGGAAACACATTTTGACAGTGACTTATTAAGCAAAATGAGAAGATAAAACAAAGGTATGTGCAGCAAAGATGTCAGAACTTCATTCTACTGATTCTCAGCCATAATTTTTTTCAATTAAATGGAAAACCCTGTCCGAAACCTTACCATCAGTCCCCCATGCACACCGCTCCCCCGCAGGTTAGGCGCATATTCTGCTAGATCAACAGAACGTAACCACTCCATCACGCGATGATTGGTCCACTGCGTAACCTCTGAAGGGGTGATGTTGTTCTGTGAACAGGAGGAATGTGCAGTCAAAGGGACCTCCTCCTAATTCAGCTGCCTCAGCCCCAATCTTTACTGAAACAAATCTTTCCTGTCCTTGATGAACATAGGCCCACTCTGCACTTGAGAAAAACTTCCACTTTCTGTATTGCTATCTTGTAGCAATTCCAAACTGGACAACGTGTCTTCACCAAACCCCAACCCTTCCCCAAACGCCAGATTTCAGAGCAGACCTAAACTGCACCTTCATTAGAAATATTGCATCTTTGCATTGCACAGGGTTCACAATAAGCTGAGCTCTCCTGAGTTTTCTAAGCTTCCTCTTCATCTCAGAGTGGTTCTCTTAAATCTTTACAATAGTGACACTAGTGAGACTCTGATAGGGAGCCACCTTTCTGGTGCTTTTGTGATCATTACAGGAAGAATCTCAACACTTTCAACTAGGTAGAGTATGGTTTGAATTGGCCAGTTTTAAGTGGCAATCAATTCACAACATGAAATACTTTATCTTTCTAATAATTCTGAGTCTAGAGCTGAGATGTGCGTAAGGCAGCTTGTGCTCATCCTACTGGGAAGTGATCTTCCTTCCTATCACGTTTACAGGAGCTTGAGACAAATAATACGAGCTGTGCCTGTGAACACAGTAGGCGGCAGGTCTGTACTATTCTTACTGCACGGTTTGCTTATCCTACTACGCACTGGGATTAGTTGTAATTTCCACCAGGACAACTGAAAATTAGCTAGCTAAATAAGCTGTTGTGAGTCTCTTGCAGATACACATCATGAATCTAAATACAAGGCTCTGGTTTGCCTCATCATCCACTCATTGCTCTATCTAGCGTACACTGCTTCCAGTACAAACTGATGGCAGTTTCCCATCTGATAACAGGGCCAAACTCATCTTAGGCAGAAACTTTGGAGACAGCCACAGATTTTACAGAGTTACACAAGGACTCATGGTGACTGTGCACCAAGTCAAAGATGATTTACGTTACAGACAGCACATCAGAGGACTAGACCGAAACAGTTGACTGTTAACTAGAAAGGGGAAGGGGAGATTTGGCAAGAGGACATAACGGAGGAAAGAAAGTGGAGTTCCAGATAGAGAAGGCAGGACAGAAAAGTTGGAAAAACAGAATGAGGAAAAGGAAAACAAAAATGAAACAGGAAAACAGCCAATAAAGGAGGAAAGGGCAAAGCAGGAACAATCAGAAACACTAGGAAAAAAAAAAAACTGGAAGATTCCTCTTCATAATTTAGTCTTAAAACAGTACCTCATCAGATGGCCTCCGGCGCAGACAGTTGGGCTCAAAGTTATTTATTCGCAGAACTTGAATGGCTCTTTTGATGCTAAGATGGTGGAGGACGCTAACAACTTTCAAGGACAGCAAGTCATCCTGTGTAAGAGTGAGGGGGAGTTAATAAACATACACACTTTTTAGTGGAACCAACACCTGCCTGGAGGAAACAGCTTGTGTTTCTAGCTTAAAATGACACATCTGACACATACTGGGATAAGTTTTTAATATTTAAGATATGTGGCTAATATTAAACTATCCCCTCCCAAAATACAAGCTTGTGTACTAGCTCCCAGGTAATGTTCTTCACATACGGTACAGAGCTTAGTGCAAAACTTTCGGGGCAACGACGAGGAAAGAGGGTGAGGATGCGTCCTCAGCAATCCGATTAGAGACAGAACAGCTTTCCAAACACGGCACGTCTAACTCAACTGACATTTTAATTTAATCCAGTCAAAAGTCTTAATATCACAAGCATTCAGGTAAAAGTTTAACTGAAAGCAATAAATTGACCATAAAAACCAAAGCATCCTGTGCGGTTTGAAAAAAAAAAGAGGAAGAAGGAAAAGAACAAGGTATGTCAGGTTGGTGCGCACGTGCCAGGGGACATCAGACACACAGACGATCTGGAGTTTGACTCCATGACAAGGCAACACAAAACAAACTGGCTGCAGATTTACACCACATCATTCTCAGCGAGGGGTGATATGCTTCTCATATATCACAGGGCAAGAGCACATGTGCCCCAGTTCCCAGAGGGAAGCCGCTGCCTCGTAAATCTACCCATCTCACACTGACGGGCTAACATGCCCAAGTCCGCTGTTGTGCGGCAACGTCCGCTTGGCCCTTGCACATGAGCAGCAAATTCACACTCTGTAAAATGCCTGTGATGGGAGCGCTGAGTAGGAAAAACATCACAGGCTTCTCATCTTTTTTTTACAAAATACAAAGACACAGCCATGCTCTTCCCTGCAAGGCATCAGCAATACTAACGAAAGCAGTTGGTTCCTTCTCCAAGAGCTTGATCCTCACAACGTTTTCTACTCAAACATCAATCTCGCCGAGGGACTCAGTTTATAGCTCACACAGATCAGCCAACTAGGCTCCCACCAGCGTCAATGGAAAGAGCCGCGCATCTCCTGAGGACAGTTCATCCCATGCCAAGAAATGAGCCACTGCCTCACAGTCCCCCCTCACTGCACTGACAAAAGGGCACAGACAACTGCCTTAGGCCAAGTAGTCCAATTTTAGATGTCAGGGGCTGGGGGAGATTAATTCCCTCTTTGTGACTACAGTAGCAAGCAGGAGTTTTGCTTTGGCTCCATGAAACCTCCCTGTTCTCCTCCTTGTCCTCAAGGTTCCCTCAAAGCTAGTTACCACCAAGGAAGGAAAAGACAGAGCTTTTTTTCTACTCGTGTGGGCTTAACACACAGAACACGTCTGGTGGACAAAGGCAAAAGGAGACAAGGTTTAGCTCAGGCTTACAGGTTAAAAAAGGCTGTTGGTGCCATTTGACATCCTGATCTACTGGACAGGTTTGGCGTTTATGCAGAGCGAAAGATGACACGTTTTGCCTACGGCTGGTTTCATTCCAACATCCAACCCCAAAAATTTAGCAACTCAAAACTGAAATAATTACACCCCTTCTCCTTCATACAGCCCAGACATTAAAAGCTTGTTGTAAGGAAGTGTCCATGATAGGCCTGGCTAGCTGTTACAGCTCATGCACAGCTGCTGCAGTTCTAAAGAAAATGAAAAAACTATCCTGCACTGCGATAGTGGTTACATATGGTGAGACTTGTACTCTTGCAAAGTTAGGCTCTTAAGCTGTAATTTGATCCAAACTATGCCATTAAGTGTCTCAAAGTCCAATCCTTTGCTGGAGCAAGTTGACTGACTTAGATGGACATATGCATACTTATGTCAGTGTTAATCTGGCTTAATATGTTCTAGTATTACTTATCTATAACACAAATATTTGTAACACGTGTATACACTTTTAAGCTCCTTTTTAAACTTTCCAAACAGGCCCAAAGAAATGCACAGATGTTCTGCTAGGCTCCAGACAGGTATGAACTTTCTTCTTTATGAAGCTACAAGGCAGACTGCTGTGATCCAACTAATAGGCTCCTCACTGAAAGTGGACCCTGTAAGACCCCAACCTGGTCCTGCTTTCCCCAGAGGAATCTGAGAATGGTTGTTTGAGAAGCGAGAGACACCCAAACAGCCAGACATCCCCTCCTACGCTTGCTTATAGCCTCACCCACACAGGATGCTCATGGGGCCATCCAGGATTTGGTCGGTGGCCACTTCCATTGGAGAGATAAGGGGAAGATGCTCAGTGGTGGCACCTGGGAGCCGTCCCTTCATCCCCAGCCAGCTGTCTCCTTGGGTCAGCTTCTGGCTGGCCCTCTCACTGATGCAGCTGCTGCCTGCCCTTACAGCAGGGGCAGGAGGACGAGTTTGGGGCTCCAGCTGCTGCTGGGGGAGGCTAATGCATGGAGGGAACGGCCGAGAGGAGGTGAACGCAGGAAGGAGAAAAGGCTGTTTGCGGAGGTGCGTGGTAGGGCAAGGCTGCTTGTGGTGTGGGTGAAAAAAAGGCTGCTGCCATGGAGGAATTGACTCAAGGGGAGCAGGAGGAAGATGGAGGTTGGGGTGGGGAGGGAGTGGAGTGTTAAACAAATTTAATTATCTGTGCAGTCACACTGATACACACTGAAAGCAGGTCTCTCTAGTCTCACCTGGTCTTCAGTGAGCTGTCTGGAAGTCTGCCAGCACGCAATAAAATGCAGCTGGAAGTAAGACAGGAAAAAGACGTCAGGAAAAGAAAAGCCATTTACTCACCACGCTCATGTAATGGAGCATTCGGCCGTCCACCTTTCCTTCATCAAACTGAGTCTTATACTGGGGGAGTCCAATGTCATCCAGCCATCCTAAGAGACAGACAGCCACCAGTGTCAGTGTGCCACAGCACTTCTGGGTTAAGGACAGCCATGCAGCTACCCACCACCAGTTAATATTATTCTCACTCTCTGAGCCCAAAAGCACCCATGAGTAACCCTTATCAAAAGCTGCTGCTTCACTATGTAATAAAGTCTTACTGGTAACCCAGTGGTAATCCAGTTTTCCATGATTGTTTTCCTCTTCAGACCCTAGTGCTTGAAGAGCAAGCTGAAGTTTCTTCCGATGCAACGGGTGCTTTATCCCAAGCTCCTGTGAAAGTAAGGAAAGCAGAAAAGCTAGAGACAGCACCATATTTTACTTCTCCCTTTGTTATGTATGAACTACATATGGGTTTCAGAGAGTCAAACAGCATACAGCACTCGCCGGTGACTTGGCAGCTGTATTTCCTATTTGCTGAGTACCAATATCATCTTAGCACATGTTCAGCACTGCTGAAAGGCCCATTCACTGTGATGGACTAATGGGTTTAGGTTTTTTAAAAGAGTTTGAAAATGCTGGCCATGGTATTCTCACACCAGGTTAAAAAATAAAATAAGTCAGTACTCAGAAAAATACTTTTCCCCATTTCCCTGGCACTCACGCCGATAAGGTGAATTACTTAGTTTAGAGCATACAGAAGTGCTATGAATTACTGAAATTTATGAAATGCTTCCAAACACGTAAGAGTTTTCTCAGTTTAGTTGCAAGTGCAGCTGTCCTAGGTTCTCTTCAATCACATATATATTTTTAACCAGCACTTGCTATTTAATATTATCTCTGAGTATTACAAGCCACTATGTCCATACTACACTTCCCTTATTTTGGTTATAGTATAACTACAACTTTGAATTCGCTCACTACCTAATTGAGAAAACAGGCTTACTTTTTGGTGAGAATAGTAATTTCTTAAAAGCTGAAAATTCAAACACTAGTGAATATTGTGCATTCAAAGTAAAAATGGAATCAACTTTTTGCTGTTTCTTATTTTAGAAAACAATATGTAAACAATTCTGTAATGATTTGAGACAGAGACCTCTGTGTCACAACTCAAACCCTCGTGCTTCTGCGTGTAAAACAGGCAGGAAACAGAACCAGACCACAACAGCAACTCTTATACCCACTCACATAGGTATACAATAACTGTATAGAGCACAAGCGCTAATGAATCAGGACTACAAACCCACGTGATAATGAGGTGTTCTCTTATTTGCATGTTTTCAAAAAGCGGCATGAATGACTCATGTGTCAACGTGTAGTGAAGTTAAAACACATATCTGTGATTATTACTTTCACTAAAATATATTGCATTTCTGTAAAATTTCAACTACAAAACTGATTTTGTATCACTACAGATGATCATATTTTAAAGACTCATCTTCAGGTACTTTTTTATACTTAATTGACTGCACTTTACAGACATGATTTACATGCGTAGAAGCATCATTTTTTATACGTTTAATTGAAAACAGTGTTTCCACTTCCCTCTTACCTTTTCCAGATCCTGCTGAGAAGCCTGCAGAAGTGTTTGCCCAGATAGTATCCAGTGTTTGCCATTACTCATGTAAGAGCCCAACCCTTGGTCCTGGAGCCAGTTACAAACCTGCTCCTTTGTCCACTTTGCGAATGGCATGTCCAGCTCACTGGAGGGGATTTAATTTTAAAAAGACTGATAAACCCTGTGCCCCTAATCTTCTATTCTCATCCAGGATAATGCAAATAAAACATAAGCTATTAATTTCTGAGTATTTTTGTGGAAGCTTGGACCATCTGCAGGGGAGAACGTGAATCGCTGTTAGGGTGTCTCTGCTCCCGAATCCTTGGCACCATGGGAGCACTGTTCACCCCATACCACTATTAAAATAAACCTGGTTTATTAATACTACTGCAGCAACCACCTTTGTCTAGGGTGGCTAAAACTCTGAAATAAGAATGCAGTATTTTTACTGTAGCCTTTAAATCCCCCAAAGTGCACCAGGACTATCATGGAGGAACAGTGCTATCGCTACGAGAGGGCTCATTCCTGGTTACCCACAGCCGGACAGCTGCACTCCTGCAAAGCCATACATAAGAACAGCTTCACTCAGCAACAGGATCCCCTCCATGGACTCTCCAAACCAGCCTCACCCTGGGAAGACCACCCTCTTAAAGGAGGAAACAGCCTGGAGCTGCCTGTTTTATTTGCCAACAGTGGGGACACTTCATTCTGGCACCGTGCATTTCCACTTGACACAGCACATGACCCAGGGTGCTGGGGAAGGCAAGCAGACACACGGACTACAGGGCACCTTGCGCCGCTCGTCTTACTTGTGAGACTGCCCCAGGTCTCGCGACCAGCCCAGCCGTGGCCCCGCAGTTGCTCTTGTCCCTCCTCTTTTGAACTCCGTCTCGGACATGTCATCTGGGTTGAAGGTGGTAGACTGACTCCTTTTAAGTCTAAATTAAAGGAACAAAGCATACGCACATTTGGCTAAGGAACAGGCATACTTTTATTACTGCAACCAATATGGGCAAAATTTCCTGTAGTGTTTGTTTGTAGCCCTTCCTTCACCCCCTGCCGACCTGCCGTTAGCTCCCTCAAATGCTGTGCAGGCTCTTGCAACAGTTGCTCCAGTCCCCAAATATGCCTGCCACCAGCCCTGGAGTAAACCATGGAGCCACAAAACTCTTTGCACCCTCTATCAGCAATGACATTTATCCAGGATACAGAAATCACAGTAAGTGTCACAGCACGTTGGAGGCAGGAAAAGAGAGATGAGAAATGGGGACAGCCTTGAGAGAAAATACGCACAACAAAATGATGCAAGATACAGCAGTGCCTCTACTTACTAAGTCCATGAACTCCTTCCTTAGAGGCCACCCAGGAGCTTCCAAACGGGACCAGCTTAGACAGCCCCAGTTCTCAGTTGGATTTCTGGCAAACCAGACTGAAGAGCTCTGTAAATCCTAGCCCGGGAGAACGGTCGTTTCTCATCCTTTACTTACTTTCCAAATAACTTCTTGATTCCTCTTGCCTTTTTCTTGGAATCTGGAGAAGGTGGAGTCATCTGCAAACTCTCAGTTTCTTTTGGTCGCGGGGGCAAACCAGCCAGATCCAAGTGATCTGCAGATCCCTTCTCTGTTTCAGCTATTAGAAAACAAAGCCCAGTCAGGACCTCACTTCTGCAGGCCTTTGCAGACACCACTCCTGAATTCTGGAACAACTTTTGCCAGAATTATTGAGAACCACCGTGTTTTAACAAAACGGGGCAAGGAAGGATGGGAAAAATGCAGGAGGAACAAGACATGTTCCTCTTCCATGGGCCTAACTGGCAATACTCCAAAGTAATGCTCTGTATCGATTAAGCGCCTTGCACCAAAGGGAGGCAGAAAAACTGCTTAATCAATCAACTAACAAATTAAATCCCTAGTTCACTTTGTCTTCAGGGAGTGCTCCTACAATCATTTCCCAAATAGAGCCGAGGCACACAGAAGCCCAGGAACAAATCAGTGCTGGGGCAAGGGACAGAACCAAGAGACCCCAGAGCACAGAAAAATTATTCCCCTGAGGCATCTTTCCTAATAACCTGCAATATCTCTTAAGATCCCTACAGGAAGTTGCAGCAACAAACAATTCCTCCCACCGCAAATCCAGGAGGGCCCTTCCCCCTCGAGGGCCATCTATTGCAAATAGTGAAATATTTTGTTCCTGTGCAGAGAAATACCATGAAGTTTAGGCTCCGTCTGAACTAGAATACCACTAGTTTTCTCTTAAAAGTAGAGGGAGGCACAGAGCACCTCTGCTTAGAGATGCTACACGTTACCACCTTGTTTCCTGTGGCAATCAACCTGAGGGCCCCGTCCTCACGAGTGAAGTTGTCACAAGATTGTTTAGTAAAAGTTATACTAACAAAGAAGAAAACTATTTAAAGACTATTTAAAAAGAGAATATTTAAGAAGAAGACTAAACAAACTGCAACATCTATTAGTCTACGTAAGCAGAGATGCGCCAGCAAGTGCCAGACAGCTGAATAAAATCACCCCGGGGAGTTTCCACCACTTACTCGCTAAGCAATAGCGACCGCCCATCGACAGAAGCAGCAGCCGCGGCTGTAAGGCAGCCTGCAGCAGCCTGACAGTGAGGCCTGTGGCCACTTTTATGGCCTTGTAACACAGCTGTGCGATCAGATGACCATCATTTGTTTTTGAAACGGACTCTTAAGACTTCCAGGAGAAAACCAGGCAAGTTACATGAGTCAAAATAGAGCATATATCACTGGGACACGTGGTCTCGGGCCACAGAGCTAAGGCTGAGGCAGCCACGGTATGCCATTAATGCCGACAAACTGCAAACTTTATCAGCCTGTCATCCAGCTGGGCAAAGTTTCGATGCTCTAGCCAGAATACATCTGAACACGTCCCATTTCCCTCCATGCTTTAGATGTTAAACCTTGAGGTGAAGCAACAAGGTCACATAACAAGACGATTTCTGGGTGCTCTGGTTTGACTGCTGTTGAACAAGGGAATCCTGTCGGTGAGAGAGAGCACTAGCGTCGAACCTGGCTTTTGCCTTTGTGGTTTTTGCTTTATCTATTTAGAGAAAGAGTGCTAGCTTGAAAACAAAACAAAAAACAAAACACATGTAAACAGCATTCTAGAGAGAGAATACCAGAACAAGGCTGAATGAATTAGTAGCAGAGATGTGCGGGTATTGCAACGTTTGTTCCTCGTCCCTTGCTCCCCTTCGCGCACCGACAACATCCCATGGAACGGCCAACGTGTAAAAGGTGACTCGGGAAACCGAGGGCCGAGAGCGCTTGTGTCTCAGCAGCAAGGGCTGCATCTCACTGGCTTTACAGCTGCCCCGGCTGACACAAATACTCTTGCTTGCTAACGCAGGACACCGTCGGTCTTACCCACCCTTATCAGAACTGCCCAGGGAAAGCTCAAGTCATGTGACTAGTCTTTATTAGGTGAATGGCTCCATTCCAGTCTGTCCCAAATCTTGCTCATTCATTTATTAAACAATAACTATAACTACTTCTATAAGAGGAATTACATATCCTTTCCCTCAGAAACTCTTCTAAATGAGAATCTCACAAATATATCTAATGCCCTACTTAGCCACTCTTCCAGGGGCTCTGAGACAGACGACAGCACAAAGTCGTATGGACCTGAACTATCAGCACGCTATAGCGAGGAGAATGCAGCTGAGGCTTTACATATTTCTATACACCCCCAACACTCAGTTGCTAACTTGGTCTGTGGGTGACTTTGTGCTCAAAGGCACATGAGTCTCTGCAAATTAACCCGCACTCTCTTGCATTAGTAGCAGTTATCGAGAAATGGCGCAGCCGACTTTTAGTAGGGCAGGTGTTACATGAAAATTCCTTGTAGCGATGGATAAAAGCTTCAATGCAGAGTACTGGTGTCTAGCTCTGTTTTAAAAGTGTATGGCCATAACCAGCTGTTAGCAGCAATCACAACACAGCGCTGGTACAGGCAGACATGCAGGATTACTATACCTAAAGTAGGTGCACTCGCACTTCGACTGCGATCTTCAGATATCCAAACAACGCACATAACCATACGCAGCACAACGGGAGAGAACACGCAGAGGGACAAGGTAAAACATTTCAAAACTTACGTCAGCAAAATACAAGACAAAAGGAGGGAGGCACAAGAGACACATGCGCCACATACAACATTGAATTCACACAGAGATTAGGATTATCAATTTACTATTAATCCCTCTCTCATAAAAAAAAAGAAACGCCGCAGAGCTCTGTTGTGGAGGGGGTGAAACAACACCTCGGTCATTTCAGTGCAGGGAGGTAACTTGCTCCATGACGCATTGGGCACGGGACTCGCATGGGCTCCTGAGAGGTTGCAAGTATCGTGATACCGGCTTTACAGATGGAAGCACTGAAATCTGAGTAACACAAATCACTTTTTCGAATTCACACAGCACAGGACCACGATCTAGATGGCCCATCTTCCAGTCCCTTGCGACAGCCACTGCAACTTCATTTTCAGTTGGTCAAATGAACTTCAGGAAGAAACAAGTGATTACACAAAAGTACACATGAAATAAACCCAAAAGTCGACTCCTCAGAACAGACTAAACATCTGTTCCAAGTAAGCTAGCAAGTTTTTGTGTTATACGACACAGGAAGATATGGGCAGTGTATAACAAATCTGTGGGTATGGTATTTCTTTTGAACAAAGACCTGGAATTATCTTTGAGTAAGTAAGAGCAGGAGACTCTTCTGCTCAAGAGAGCAAAAGCTAATACCCTTTAGGCTTCTGAAAGATCTAATTTCCTAAATCTTGTGCAAGGGAAAGCTAAAAATTTAAGATGAATGGCTGCACATGTTCAGACTCGCTTCATGCTTGAATTGGAAGGGTGGAAAGACTACTTATTAGAGGAGAGCAGCTAATGCAGGAAGGATTTCATTTGGTGGTAACAGCTACCTCTGCATTAAGCAGAACATATTGTTTATTTCTTTGTCATGTGCAAATGCCATCAAACAACAAGACCAAAATGAAAACACCTCCATCAGAAGTCTAGAAGTCAACATAAGCTTGAATAACTTGTCAATCCCGTTCCTGTTGTCACAATCTCTTTTGCAAGGCTGCTTAAAAACACACAAAAAATGAAGAGGAATAGAGAGTGCAGCTCCCTCATTTCTGTATATCTGAAAATCTTATGAAAGATAAACTCACAGTGGAGCCAGAAGAATCAAAAAAAAAAAAAAAAGCCAAACAAACAAACAAAAAATCCATGTGTGAACCACAGCCAGATAAACTAGCATTTGAAAACTGCAGCAATCCTATACAAGGTCCCCAGGAGAGATCGTAGCAGAAGTTGAACCAGATCCGATAAACACTTTAGTACATCAGCGGGTTTTTTTTCCCCTGTTTCTTTGTTAGATATTTTTTTCAACTGTTCTATTGAGAAAAGTGCCACCAAGTCACAGCGAGACCAAGGCTGGCCTTTCGGCGTCTTAGTACAGTTACAGCACTCGGAAAAATAAATCCACATTTCTCTGCTGTTAAGACTCTTGTTCAAAATACATGGAAGCTGCATTCAGGAGCACGATACCTACCCAGATTGGGAGCACTCGCAGTCCTCTTGTTATTTTTGATCTTGAAAAAGCCTCGTCCAAACGAAGATCTGGCTTTACGGGTACCAAAGCTATCCTCATCTCCTGTGCCACCATGAGAAGGAGATTTTGGAGGCAGGGTCCCAAATTTATTACTTTCCACAGGAGGTTTAACCTGCTGAGTTAGGGAAATGAAGCTTACATGAGGGTATGACAAAAAACCTTTCGAGAGAGACTGCAAAGTGACTGCTGACAGATAATCTGGAGAGTCACCCCACTTGTTAGTACAAGAAAACACAACACAAAAGCCATAAAGGATAAAATCAACAAGATCTTTGTTTAACCGCATGAAGGACCCAGAATTGCTATCACCACCTGCTAAGAGCGACGTGTCTTCCTTAAGGTGTTTCCTAGTTTCTGGAAGTTTGGCATAGAGGTATGGAAAAGGAAAAACAGAAGTATGATCCTGGGAGACTTTGAACTTTTTCAGCTTCCCAGGGTTTGTCTCCCCCACTGATACCTGCAGAGGCAGCGGGAAGCAAAGAGGGCAACGAGACCCCCACAGTAAATCAGTCCTCTGCCAAGTGCCAGACAGCCCCTTCAGTCTACCAGTGCTCTGCAGGGAGTAATTTCAGGACAAATGGATTACTTGACTGGGTCCATGGCCAAAGCTCACAGGAATGTAAGTAGTAAGCAAGGGGTATGTAGGACAGGACAGGAATCAAAACCATCAGTTAGCCAATTCAAAGTAGCAGTTTTAACCTTGCTGTTTGTTTCACTGTCTCTTTAAAGGAAGCAGGAAACAAACCCATTCGCAATCCAAATAGAATCCCTTAGCTTTTGCTGAATTGATACAGTACTAACCATAAAAGTGGTATCTTGAGGTATGTGTTCTCTACTAAATTCTTCACACAGGCAATAATTATTGCATGTGAACTATAGCAATAGGGGACCTGTGCGTAACTATTGTGTAATGACAGCCCTTTTAAGAACACAGTTGTTAGTCACAGAAAACAATTTGAAATCCAAAGGCTTTTAAAGAGATACTAATCAAAGGTAATTACAGAGTCAATAAAATAGTTAAGGGTTAGCTTTGCTAATTATATAGTGGCAGAACATGTGGGGGAAACAGTAGCTTAGAGGGCAATTTCATCCTCAACCTGACTGCAAGATAAGCCGTGTGTGAGAAGGCAAGAACGCGTGAGACACTATAAACCTGAGACAGAAACGATGGTGACAATCTTAATATATTCCTCCCTATCTTGTTTGCAGGTCTGCTATTCCCCATTTGCAACAGAATGCTGCAAGTTCACAGAAGCGAGGCTTTCAAAGCCCCCTCGCTGCCTGCGCTCCTCCGCACGCACACGCCTGCACCCACATACGCGTTACCTCTGCTGGCTTCTGCGCAGGCTCCTTGTCCTGTTTGGGAAGGATTAAGAAAAGCATTTTAAAAATTTATAGCTTAACAGCTTATAGTTCAATCATTTATAGCCAGTATTCAATACACCATGGCCACCCTGAGTTGAATTCTGAATGAAATACCCTTCTCTGCCTGTTTTCTCCACCCAAAAGAAATCTCTTCAGAGCTATATTTCACACAGATTAATTCTTGCTTTCTTTGAGGTCAGTGAGCTGACATGAAAATACGGTTGCTTTGGCTTACTTCGTAAAGGATTAGCCATGTACATAATTAGCTGCATGCAGTCTGATAAAAAGGAAATAATGGGTACAGTTGGCTAAGGGGACCCAAAGCAGGAACTAGGCAGGGTAGAAGCCCTGCAGATAAAACAGTCGCAACCTCCACGCCATGGCTGTGCAAATAAACAGAGAAATGAAAAAACCCTCAATCCACGAATTCTAGCTTTCGTCATCAAGTTGTGGTTATATTTGCACTCTTATCAGCGACCCTCCTGAGCAGTTAAGCACAGCTCAGCAGCTTGGGTATCAGGCAGGGAATTTAGGAGCTTTCAGGATTTCAGTTGGACAAAAAGGAGCGCAGGAATTACTCTGACTTGATGACACTGTTACAGGCAAACTGCTTTTGGTCACTTCCAAAGATATTTAGGCTGAAGCTATCACCAGAAATACAAAGGCTCACTATTTTGTTCCAAACACCTAAGGCACAGAGTCAACTCAGCCTATATTTTACAATGAACTGATTGCGCGGCCTTCCAACATTGTTAGTCTTAAACATAGACAGGAAGTGCTAGCAGTACTTATTTTCTTCTTGTCTTAAATCAGCAAATCATATCTACTCAAGTTAAAAAAATATGCCTCATTATCTGAGAAAAATGCAGTATGAGAGTTTCGGGGGAACACTTCATGCACAAAAAGTCTAATGAGGGACAGATATTCTCCTTTAATAATATCTGGACGATCTCACATGTCTGGGACCGTTGCTAACATGTGACATGAGGAGCCAAGCCCTGACTCAAAATTACTCAGAAGAAGGTGACAGGACAACTCTGGGAAAGCAGAGTCACGCTGTCACGCTACCTGAGGGACGGCTGGGGAGATGCCCATGCACTGCCCGTTCAGGAGCCCAACAGCTCAGTGCCACAGCAGAGAAAGTCACCCATGTTTTTAAGGGAAAGGAAAGAAGTAAGAGCCCAAACTAACCACTTCCGATGCCTCCTTCTTCAGACTGCTCAGACTGCTGGACTTGTGCAGGGAGGAACTTCTGAAATAACAACATAAAGAACAAACGGAGTGGACTGGAATTAGACTTGCTAAGACAAACACACTCTTAAGAATGAGCTTTACAAAAAGCATTACAATGCACGATGAGATGCACTCAAAAGCAAAGACATTTTGAGGTAAGGCAATCAGCGTGCTAATAAGAGCCCATACAATTTTATGAGATATTGTAAGAGGAACTTCCACATCATAATTACTGATGTTAATATTGCAGTGACATAATGTCTACCCTGGATATTTTTGGCTTCTTTCTTAAAGTTATATTTTTAGAAGGATAAGCAGAAATTATACATGCAAAAGGAAGTGGTTCCAAAAAAAAAAGTTATGAAAACCAGTATTTTTAGCAACAAGCTTCTGACTAATTTAATTCTTAAAGGAGCCAGGCTTAAGTCAAGCAGGCATATTTTAGTATTTTATCTTCAGTTCCATTTTCAGCAGCAAAGCAAACCCTTTGAAATCCCACTGACTTCTGGTGGGACTTAACAGTCTAAGCGCTTAAGTCTGTTGGAAAGGAAAGTGACCATTAGAGCCTTCCCTCCACCCAGGTATAAATTAAGAGTAACTTCACTGAATTTCACAAAGTTATATATCTTTATACCAGCACAAGGGGGAGCAGCATTTGGCTTCTGGCATATTCTCAGGGCACTAAGTCACTCAAAATAAAAGCAGCCGCTGGGTCTCACGCTGTGCATCAAACAAGCCCTGTTGACTTAGGTCCCTCATTAACATATCACTTTGACTCAACCTGAAGTTCATAAATAGCCCCACTGATTTCCCTGGGCAATAAGGCTATGTGGCACAGCTTAAAATTATTTTCTCCCTGTAGCCAGCTAATTACCCTTCCCCTAATATCAAAAGGACCGAAATAACTCACGTGCACGTACCACAGAAAACTGTAAATTTAAAAGTCTATTGACATTCCACACCTCAATTAGAGCTGCTCCATAACGTAAAAGAAATTAAGTGCTAGTATACGTGCACAGATGAAGCACTGGAAAATAACAGCGATGAAACTATAGGACATTAGCAGAAAACTACCACCCCTAAGTACTGTCTTGGCTAAAATTACTTCACACGTTTACATGTGCCTGTAAAAGAAGGGAGGGGGGTTTCAACAGTCATGGAAGAATGTTTCCTGGACCTTACTTGATTATGATACTTACACTGGGCTGTCACTCAGCTGAGTTTCTGGGGAGGAGCCTGTTGACCTTCCTTCACTGCAAAAACAAATAAGGTGTCAAAAAAACAAGGCTCTTAGGGATCCCTTCCTTATATCTTGGTGATACGGCAATCCTATCATCTCGGCCTGCTTTAAATCTCATTTTCACTTCAGCTGCTACTGCACTAACACACATCAAATCTTCCTTTCCACACTGGCAAGTCTTGTAAAAGATAAAAGACAGAGGCGAGCCCAAGAGGCCCTGGAAAGACAACTCGCAGTATAAATTAATCACTAGTACTTCACTAGCGAGCTAAAATAAGCGAGGAGGTTACGGCGTAGGTAGGGTCTGAAGCAGCACCGCAGTAAGGGAGATCACCCCCCCGCTACGACTCAGCTGCAGTGCTGGGTGTTTTGTTGGGGTTTTTTTTTGTCGATGTCACACCAACACCGATGACAGTTTTAAACGAACGAGATTTCCTCGCGTTTGGATTCTTCATATTCGATACCCAAACGATTAAGGCCCTGGAAGCTGGGTTTCCTCACTGCTGAAAGGAAGGTGCTGCTGGGAACGACGATGGGTTGAGACACGCGGGAGGTGATTCGCTCTACCCGCAGCGCGGGCGCCGCGGCCAGGCTGTGTGCCTGCACCTGAGCGCTGGGCAGCCCTCGAGCACCCAGCTTGGCTCCTGCTGCCCTGGCCGGGAACCCTGCGGCCACGCGGTTCAACCGCCTTGGGAGGTCTCAGGCAGGCTCTTGCTAAGAGCCACCAAGCAACAACTTCGCATTTTGTTGCGTCAAAGGACAGCACCGAGGATACCTGTTTCTCCTACTTTAAGAAACATTCATTCAGCTTCCTTCTGGGGCTCCGTTAACAGCTCAAGGTTAGTGCTGGCCAGTCCTTTTTCTTTTCCCAGATTTGGTGGTACCTTACACCAGATTTCCACAATTCTTTAGTAACTGTGGAAAACCTCTGAATGCAAATTGTTAGAAACGTAGTTGCATTAGCACAGCCAGCACTATCCCAGCCAGACTATCCCTAGACGATGTTTGCCTAGGTACAAACAATAACTGTGTCTCCTTCATTATATTAGATCGGTTTTTCACTCCCTCTGTTCGTTTCTTGAGAAGCAGCTGGTGTAGAACATGAGCGCTGTACAAGCAACTACAATCAAACTAACACATACTTATTGAAAAATATATAGTTTAATATAAAAATAATATATAATACATATTTTAATCAATTGCATATTAAATAATGTATATATTAATATATACATATTTAATCCGTGCCTTTAATAAATACAGTTTAGTTCAATAAAACCACTCAAATTATGTTAGCCTTCATTAACTGACTTAATGACTGGACACTAGGTTAATTAACAGATCACTGCTTTCATTAAACTTCATAAATCTTTGGTTTTACAACTGAAAAATTCATGGAAACAATAATACCTCATTTCACTTGTAGCTTCTGGCCTAGGCTGTGCTTTTACTTTCTCTGCAAAAGTTTCTGAGCTCTTAGATGTTGGTGAAAAAGAAGGGATTGAAACCTGTAAAATACTGGTGTGGATCTGTAATGAATTCTAAAAAAAAGAAAAACAAAGAATATGTATTACACAGAAATGAGCTGAAATTAAGGAGTCATAAATGAAAGTAAGAATAGCAGATACACTATGAAAAGAAGGGTCTGAATTAGGAAAAAAAAAGGATTTTTTTCTTTCTTTTGTGATGTAAAGCTGGTTTACTACTTGAAAGACGGCCAGACAGCACTGGAGATAAACCATGAATCGCTATACAAGTAAACTATAGCATAGACAAAAATCTCACAAACCTTCTGAGGCTGCCTACTAAATATATCTGCTAAATCCACCACAGACTCCACGAAGAGCAGTTAACTTTTCTGGTTTACTCCTATCCTTGGCCACTTAGAGAATTCAAAAAAATTTGCTAAATAATTATTTAATTTAATTTACTGTGTGCGCATGCTGTTTAGTTAAGTCAGTCAAGTCTCCACTTTGACTGAGAGCTCTAACAGAAGAGATCTATATTTTAATTATTGGAAAATGTTATTGTAAATCAGAGATTGGACCATAACACACTTATTACACTGAATGGATATAAAGATGATTGTGTCCTTTTAAATATTTTACAGGCTATATTAAACCAGTCCCAAGATGTTTACTTGAAATTCCTAAGAAATTTGGGAAAATATGCTAAATATGCAATCCAACATCCTAATATCCAATATTCATATCCTAAAGCAACTAAGATATGAAATAAAGTTTAGACCCCTTCTCACGACAAACACAGCTACTTATTGTCTCTTGATCCCATTTGATAATTAAGAAAAATACGTTCATCTGAATTCCAAAGAAACTCCTCAGCAGCTTTCACAAGAAATCTACATTCCTCCAAAGGATGTGGGAGTTTACTAAAACTGTGCAACCCAGAAGAAACCCTTTCAGAAACAGAGTTCTGGCTTCTGTAATGCAACTCTAGCATGAGTAACGCTTTCAAGGACTAACGGCATTAAGAGTTAAAAGAAGATACCTCTTCGTGAACATTCATGTTGAACTCTTCGTGGCTTGGAGACACTGTTTCTGGGGTTGGGGATGCACTTTTCTCTGGGTCAGTGAGACTTGGTGCGTCCAATAAAGCCGTGGAAATGGATCCTGAACTCAGGAACTCTTCACCATCACCTTCCTTGCCTAACAGGAGAGAAACCTGGCTTCATTTCTGCACGCACGGGGATCACCACTCCCATGGCAGGCACAGCCAGCATAGAGGAGGTAGGGGCTAAGCTGGGGAGAGGCTGAGATTACTTTCTTAAGGGAGAGCACAGTACGAGAAGGGGAGCCACCACGAAATGTCACTTCCCAATTCAACACAACAGGGCGGCAGCAGAAGGGACACATGCATCCAAGAGCAGAAACCCTGCCCCTCCTCAAGGGTGGTTAGTGGGATTGGTTTCAAAAAGCTGAATACACTGAAGTACTTATTTCCTATCCTCTGTTCTGGAATTCCATACTAAATATTTTTTTTACCCATATTCAAGAGGAAAAGTCCAGAGGTGCAAATCTGTCTGGAATTTAACATTAGGAAACAAAACTCCTTTTTGTGGTATCTTCCGAGTTAGCCATAGGGAAAATGCAGCTCACAGCACAGAGTATAACAATAGCTTTTAAGTGACTACATCAGGTTTGCACATTGTCACAAATTAAGTCTATCTCTTTCTGAGAATTCAGCAGCACACATCAGCATCTGGCATCGTCTCTCCAAGGAGAGAAAGGCCTGAATTTCCATGCGTGTGGTCAATACCAGGGTACTGACACTGACCAGAAACATTTCAAGGCAATCAGTACTTTCTTTAAAAACAAACAAACAAACAAAAAAAAAAACCCAGCACAAAGCGATCATTCATTGCCAAAGATCTGATGTGAAGAGAAGCCAAAATCTATTTATGCTGAAAATCTTCCTTGCCCATCTTTCACTAGCTGAAATCTCTGTCCACGTTCTATGATTTGGCCATAGAGCACAGTTCCTGGAGACCCGAGGTCTGTTTCAATACCTTCCTGTCTTTGAATGCATAGCATTGAAAACGTGAAAAAACAATCCTTATTTCAAAAATGCTACTCTCTTTCTCTAGTACTAAGGCACGCTGCTTTGCCCATAACCACCTTCCCTCTTCTCACATTGACTCAGTGCTTTCCCAGCCTTGGCAAATCGAAGATGGGCAAGCTGTGTCCTTAGTGCCACTGAGCACTGGTTTCCAGGATGGAAATGCTCCTGCATCTTGGGAGCCAAAGCCCACAGATGGGAAGGACTTCCTGATCTCAAACACTTTATAAAAAGGGGAGAGGGAGCAACTGGTGTCATTCTGCCACTTACCTAACAAGCAGGCAGCAAGAAGGCTTACCTGTACAGCTGGTGGTCAAGCTCAGCCAGACTGCAGCCCGGCACACTACCATGCACATAAACTCCAGTTTGGGTTTATGTTCATCAACCCAGACTGACAGCTCTGGTAGCTCCAAAGGTGGTTTCTGAGCAGATGGGCAGTGCCCACCTCGGAGGTGCAGGGCTCATTGGGGGACTGGGGTGGACAGCTGGAGATCGCAGCCATGGGCTTCCCCACGGCCCTGCAAATCAGCCAGCACCTTCAGCCACACTAGTCAGTGCCTTCCCACCCTGATTGCTGCCTTTCCACCAGGGCCGACCTCCCAAAAGCCTGTGTCTAGGACTCTGTAGCCCCCCAGGAACTTGGCTTCTTCTGCTGAGGAAGTCCACGTGATTGTCTACGCAAGTTCACCTACTCGTTTCCTAACGGCTGGGGCTTTCCTCCGACAATGTGGGAGTGCACAGGCTCACAGCAGGCTCTGGAGCAAACAAAACTGAGCGGGGGGAGGAAAAGAAGGATGCAAAGACTCTCTCTTCTCTCCTGTGTCTCATTCCCAATCCTAGCAGCATGATCGGACGCGACTCTCCCCTCCGCTTTTGCTACCTTGGCCTAGTACAGCAGGACTCAAGAGCTCAAACATTTGAATCCCTCCCCACCAGAATAAATTAGTTATTTTGCCTCCTCACCAATTTCTGGCTATTGACAATCTTCACTCTTTGAAGGGATCCCTGGGGGCTCCCACATCCCCCTCCTAGCACTCTTGGGAAGGTCATCCCCTCTAACATTTGCACCACTAATAAAACCCACTAGCCCTTGTTGCCTACCCTAAGGAAGCTCATGCAATGAACTTAGGTTAATTCAAGGCCTGCGGAAGGCTGGGTTGGCCTTCTGAGGGTTCAGTGACAAAGGAGGTTTCCAAAACAAGCTAATACAACACTGTTCTGCACAGACCTCTACGTTGTGCATATTTTGTATCAGAAAAAGTGAGCTAGGCCCTCTCGCTAGCAGAACGCTAACGTCTGAAATTTCTTGAACACAGGTCTTTTAGAGGACAATGACCAAAAAAATGCAATTCAAGCATTTTGAGTTTTGCATCCTGCAAAAAGAGCAGGATGATGTGTGTGTGTGGGGGGGAAACAGCTTAGTAATGCATACAGGGCAGGAGGATGGATTATAGCTGTAAAGGTTGATGCTCATTTTCTAACGCGTGAATGTGTTTGTTTGGAAACCCAGAATCATTTTAGTGTGATGCTCTACAAGTCTTTCTTTTGCTTTTCTTTTAAGGGAAAAAAGAGCAAGAGAAGGAAGGAACTCAATAAAATTACATCAAACTGATGACCGCCATCATCATCATCTATCATTTTCAGGGATCAAAAGTTCCTGGAACTGGAATGCTCCAATAGTCATCGAACACATGAAACATACCGTAATATGTTATGGTACGTATAATACGTACCATTTGAGCCACATGATTGAGTTCATTATCTAGTGGCAGAGAAGGCTTTTTTTGTATGAAGAGAGGCTGGCAGGTATGATCAGGAAAAGCTAGCTTGGCCTCCTGGTGCAGTAAGGAAAGAGAGCTTTGCCATAATTGCTGCGCATGGTGGTTTTTGATGGTTACGTTATGTGCCAGCGACAGACCAGACAGCACAGACACTTTGCTACAGACATTTCCGCAGCTTTCGGGCATTGCTCTTGCATGGTGCACAATTACTGGGGCAGTGCTGGTTCCGCTCATGGGAACGTGCACGCTCAGCAACTGTGTTGCCCAGTTACCGAACACTCCCGAGGAACACAAGTAAAAAAGGGAAATGGTGATTTTTAACATGTAAGGGAGCATTTAACCCAGAAAGGCATTTCAGATGACAGCGGAAAGGTGTTAAGACCTTATCATATGCAAAGTCATTTTACAAGAGGGATAAAAAAGCAATGTAACAACAGCAGTTACTACTTCCAGGTACTAAATGAGACAACGTCCAACTGAGATAAATCAACGCAACCGCCCTGGAGATTACAATTTACTAAGGAAAGGAAGTGTACCAGTTCATACCAGCTGAAGAACTGGCCTTAACTGTGCCTAAGAGATACCTCCAAAGGTACTAACTCTGAGAGTCAATAAGCTCTACCACCTGCACCGATAGAGTTACATGCACCTACAGTTTAAATGGGAGTAGAGTTTAAAATCTTTAAAATTCCACAATACCTTTTTTGCCTTGAGCCAATATCACCATGTCTTGAACTTTTTTGTACCGATTCAGAGATTGCAAAAAAGTTTTTCCTGTGGTAAACCAAAAATAAGAAATACAAATACCAGATGTTCTTCAGTTTAACTGGCTGTTAAACTAAAAATAACAGAAATGGGGATAGGACAAGATCCAGAACTTTGAGAAGCTTTGAAATACTGAGAACTTGTATTTAGCAAAAACTATGACCAGTTTAATCATCAGAATTGTCCCAGAATTGAAAGTGGATTTCAACTGTCTAAAGTCCAAGCTACAGTGTAATAAATATTGCCACGTACAAAGAGAGAAGTAATCAAAGGATTAGGGATTTCGGTGATCAAAAGAAAACATCCTGCAAAATGCTCATGCATATGAATGCAGAAAACCACATGGGAAAACAACGCCTACTTTACAGAAAGCTCTGCTGGAAATGTGGCCTGTGGTATCTCGTGGGACTTGTGGGGAGCTCTTTACATTTTGAGAGTATACCGTAAGTCGCAGTTCCACTGAATTTAATGACACCGTTGTGTAAGGACTCTGCGTACACAAGACAGAGCTCATAAATGCCTAATTATATCCCTTTTAAAGGCACTGCAGTGCCTCTTTTGACTACAGTGCATCCTCGACTCTTACAAATTTGCTTTTGTAGTGAATTGTGACAAGTCCACCTTTGCAGATATTCTAAGAGATTAAACTCAATCTGATGAATGATTACTGAAAAAATACTGATTTTGCTACCTTCTCTTCATTTGCTGCCATTAGAGACTCGACCGCCTTCTTCATTTTCTGCACCTCTATATCTAAAAACACACAATACAGTTACTGCAGTCAATTTAAATGAGACGGTATAAGGAAGGAAGAAAAACAAAACCAAAAGTCAATAATTTCTGAAGGTAAATTTACAATTAAAAGACAAACCACAAACCACTTAATTTCTATTTTAGACTGAAATACAAAGAAGAAATGCCTTTTTCTGCAAAACCCTTTTTCTGGCGTTTTTATCAAGGAAATGACCACGTTTAGGAAATACCTCTCCCCAAACCACAGGAAAACTGAAAAGTCAAGAGTAAAACTCCTGCTTGACCTGCATTATCTCCATCTTTTAAATATCCACATAATTATAAAACAAGACCTCCAAAATATCAAATACTGTAACTGGAGTGCAATAAAACCTATTTTCAGTGCAACAGTCGCCAAGCACTCCGAACAGCATCTCAAAAACCCGCCATACAAAGCAACAGGATTAATGGACATGATGAAAAAGCGTTGTGTGGTGGTGCTTAGTCATAACTCAGAATGGATGCAGGAATGAGGACAGCACGATGGAATGATACAGGTATTTGCCGGGATGAGCAGTCATGCTAGAATACATGTCGTAATTCAGGTTTGAAAAAGGTCCCTAACACAGAGATGAGTGTTCTGTGCTTCATCTATAACCCTTACTCACGAAATAGTACAATACTTTGAACGCTTATATTCTAACTGTCTAAGAGGTTTGATTTTGGAGGTGGACTAGATAATTTTAAAGAGAATTGAAGTAAATCTTCATTTTTGCAAGAAGTCTACCTTGCATAAATGAACTAAACTTTAAATTCCATTGCAAACGTGGGGAGGTGGCCAAACCCTCAGGCAAGCAAGCACTTTACTTTGTTTTAATCTCCTAAAATTCCTCTGAAAAATCCCACAGTGGGGAGAACATTTTCCTCCTTAATGAAATGCAAGAACAAAACAAGCTGCCTGGCTGACTTTCTAGATAAATCACAGTTAGACATACTTGGCTAAAATCCCAACTGATACAGCTCCAATGATTTTGACTGAGTTATGCTAATGGAAAATCTGGCTTACTGGATTGTGACTACACTTCAGTGAAAGGCAACTGTTTTATTTGCATGCGCGTCTTAAGGAGAAAAATCTACGTACTCAGCTTTGAACAGAAACTTTGGTAGTCTTCCTCAGACCAGATCTTTCTTCGTCTACTAGCTTTTTTCCAGAAACTTCTGTATTGCGAGTGTGGCATATCCACCCTTATTCTCAAATTTTACTGTGAGTGTAATTGAAGGTTATAGATGATGCAACCTAACAAGTGTTTGTTAAAGCAGTTTTATAAACACATGCAGAAAGCTGTACTGGAAAGCATTCCTGAAATACAAATGCTTGTGGAAAGACACCAGAAACCTTACTTTTATCTTTGAGCTTCTTTTTACAATTTTCATCTGTGCAGGAAAATCCATTGAATTTGACATTAGCATAAAGGTTATGGCATTAAACAACTTTTAACGTAATATTGCTACTTAAGGAGCAAACTATTTCTCACATATTATTGCAGAAGCAAGCAGTTCACAGTTTTAACCTGCACTCCCCTGTTGCTAAAGTTCCTAAGGAAACAAATAATGTCACTGTTCTCCTACACAATTACCTGTTTGGAGGATATTTTTTTGCCCATATGTTTTCACTTATAAGGTCTCAAAGATGCCTTATGCCAATAAATTAATCTAAAGCTAATAGTGGGCAAAAAACGGCTAGTTTATTATGTAAAAATATTTGTTCAGAAATCACAATTCAGCTAACGGGGCAGAGAATCTGTGCTATCTGCGCATAGCATTACTTAATATTGCTCCAAGGCAGCAAAATCATGGTTCACCATGGCAGAAGATCCTCTCCGAAGCTATACTGAAAACTAAACCAAAGCTGAGTACCAAGAGGCAGTAGCTCAGCATACTCTGCAGCCCCCAGGAAAGAAAGCCCAGAATAAGTAGCAACAAACACACCAAACCCAGACCTTGCTCACATTTACACATTCTAAAAAAGGAACCACAGTTCATTGTGATCACTTCTAGCGGTCTTACCTAGTGCTATTTAAAACAGGTACTTTTATTAAATAAAATCTGACAAACTACACACTGTGGTTTCTGCCCCAGGTCTGGGAAACAGACTAGTTAACCTCTTGGGGCTTTACATATCTAAAAAGCCAACTTCAAAAGCACCATCTAAAATCAGTGATAACTTCCAGTAGGACAGGTTCAGAAATGAAATTTCAGGTCAAAAAAAGTCTGTGACAAATTTCTGTGAGTCTTTAAAAAAAAATTATTTTCTTAAAAAAAGGTCCAAATCTAAGTTTCCTGTTTTGTCTCTTCTTTGCCAGCAAATAAAAAAACAGCTGACAAAATTTCTGTGCTCATTCAAAAGTTTAGTTAGGATTCAGACTCCTCTGGTGCGCAAATAAGAACCAATCCTCAATTTCACCTACTTAGGGTTGGTCCACGCTGAAGACTTGCTGGTATAGATCACACTAGTACACAACACGGTTTTCTCCTTCCATAACAGTGAGAAGTGTATAAGCAAAGCCCAGCACACATATCTACACAGCAAGTTTCTCTGTCAATATAATTTTTGGGGGGCACTGGTTTAAATTAGTTCAAAGACATCTTTGCCAGTATAAACTGCATCTTTTGAGGCATAAAAACCACAGAGGCTAACTAGGGATTACCAGCTAGCTTCCAGTGGATAAAAACCTACTCTAAGGGTAGGGTCAGCAGTTGCATTATGAATACTCACAAAATATTTTAGAAGTAAACATGAAGACAAAAAGTATATGGAAACTGAGATTTTAAATTTCCCATACAACAATTCATAGAAACATCAGATTCAGATTAGGTGACAGAGAACTACATGATGCCTCTAGGCAGCCCTAAAGGAGAGCCTCCCTTGTTCTTACCTCTGTCCAGTATCTCAATTCCTTCTCCTTTCATTTTGCAAACCAACTTTTCCTGTAACCTTTTCACCTCAGCTTCCTTCTGCTCCAGTTTCTCTTTCAAAGCTGCTAGTTCATCCTGTAACAGATACAGGATCAATTATGGACAGTCTCCACACGTGTATTTGAGATGTTTTCAAAATTCATTTCTCAGCGAGTCAGAAAGATCAAGGACCCTGACAACAGGGAACGATTTACGCTGGCTGAGGGTGCCCCCACCGGACTCGGCATCTCAACTGCACAACAGGCCACTGAGTCCGGAAGGGCCAAAACAGAGGGCCTACGGTCCCAAAGTTTCAGTCTCATGTATAATTGCAACAGAGATTTTATATCTAAATTAGAAAGAGTAAAGTCAAAAATCCAGTTTTCTTATTTCACCTTGCACAGACAGAAAAACTATGGGTGATGAGGCTGAATGCTAGAACTTATGAACACTGACATCTGTATGATGGTTTTACGAACTTTGACACCTGCAGAGCATTTTGCATGTTCACAGTTGGACAGTTATTGAACTGCACTTACAACAGGCTGAGGACAATTTCCAAAATAACCACTGCTTACTAGGAAAGAAAAATCAATTACGACACCGTCAAGCACAAAAACACACTCTGAAAAGCAATTCAGGTGAAAATGGGGCACCTCCGCGACAATTTGGGTTTACTGACCACACGTTAGGGAAGGAAGCTTAGCGCTGAGATTTGTGGGAGGAACACAGAAGGTGTTTGGGGGAGTTGGGGTATATCAGATAAATGCTGTCAGATTTTGACTTAGCTCTAACCATCTGCACCAGCAAGTTACTGGCACCGATTCATGCATTTAGCTTTTTAAAATTTCAGTCAAATCCTGTCCAGTTTAGTAACATGTTTTTTTGATGTCTGGGGAGATCTTGTGCAACAGCATCAGCAAGACGTGACCCTCAGTGCAAACGTACCCTATATCGAAATTTTAATGTGTTCAGTTTGTAAATGAAGTAAAGTAAAACTCCTAATTTTGGCATTTATAGCTTCTAACTGAAGTATTAAATCCTAAAAGAAATAAATCAAACTATAATACTGTGGCTTAAGTGTGTTCCTGAGCTTCCTTCAAAAGATGCATCACAAATATTCATGGAAGCGATATCTGTGATCCAAACTATGGCTCAAGCTACAGGATTTTCCTCTTTGCTCTACGGCATCTTAAAAAAAAGAAAATTTTTTTTAAATCTTGTAATTCTCAAGAAATCAAAACTTCTTCCAGGACAGAGGCTTTATAGTACAATCCTGCAGTGCTCCAAACTGGTACTGACTTTGATGGGATTTCTGACAGTGTAAGACCTCTTTTTCTCCAAAAAGAGACCCTCTCTCGGTCACTTGAAAAGCTATCAGTAAGTATACCCACGGACAACTGCAATTCCACGTGGTTGCTGACGTTGTGTATTTTCTGTCCTGAATTAAAAACATGTTATGTAAATGTATGCTTGGGGGGAGAGCGCTCTGCAAAGGAACCACTGTTTCCTAGTTACTTTTCAGGAATAAATTTTCTCTAGGACGGTTAGAAAAATTTAGTTTTGAAAAACAGACGTAAGCTAAAGAAGAGGCAGTGGAAGAGGAAAAATTTTAACCTAAGTCTAATTCAATTATGAGTAACCAACACAAAGTTCACAACACTAAAATCCTCTTCCATCCAGTGTGAAAGCTGTTTAGAAGGAATAACATGAAGAGTCTTCTACATCTAACGAGAAAGGGAGCACTGCATATCACCACAGATTAATACAGAACACAGAATGACAATAATTATTAATACAGAGCACAGAATGACAGCAAGATGCAAGACACACTGGAAAATGGTGTGATGAACATGAAGGATTCAAAACAGGCCAAATTAAACTACTACACCTTTAGCATCTGGCATTTTTGCTCCATCCGCTGCTTTTCATACTGCATCTGACCCACTTTGATTTTCATGCTAGAAAGTTTGGCCATTAAAGACTGGGAACAGAGACAGAGGAGTGAGAGAAAACTAGAGATAGAAAAGAGTCAGGCTAAATGGCAAAGAGAAGTTAGACACTTACAGAAACAGAACACTATAATTTCTTAGGTGAATGCTTTTTCTTCAGAAAAGAGTGGCCGATTTTCAGCACATTTAGGAGAAAATAAATGTTCAGCTTTGGTCTCACCCATGGCACACACCTTACATACTGCAACTGGTGTTCACTGAAACGTAGGTGAGACAAAGACCTAAACAGGTGATATATTTACTGTTAATGGCTACTACCTGGTAGGTTGATCCCTCATAAAAACCAGTGTCTAGATCTGAAAACCATGACACAAAATCCGAAAACCACCCCTTTTTGGGATTTGTTGTTAAGTGAGCGCCATGAAATCCCTGGGCCTGAGGTTGCTCAGGGCTTTGCAGGGTATAGTAAGGACTGGGGAAAAGAGAATGAAATCCAAAAACCTACAACTCATACCTATCTCTGCTTCTTCCCCTCAGCCTCACTTACTTTGGTAGTTTTAAGTTTTTTCTCGTACTGGAGTCTTTCATTGTCCATTTCTCCCACTCTTAATCGCAATTCATTTATTTCCTGGATCAAATCCTGAGTGAAGGGAAGAACAAGACCAGAAACAGAGAAAATCAATAAACAAGGCAGAATGGTGGCTGACCAGGCATGCCTCAGTGGGAGAATAAAACCACAGCAATGAAAAGGGCTCTGTGCACCCAAACACACCACCCAAATTCAGAGTTAAGTCCAACAGCAACAAGCATCGGCATATGCGTTTAAGCATCAAAGGCCACAGTGAGTGTGACTACAACTGTGCTTTGGCAATTCACTCTGCTTTGGAAGAAACTCGGAGCCACCACCAGTGTGGACCTGACTTCTTCAGGAAAACAGCTCAACCCCTCAGATATCCTCCTACAGAGAGCTGCCATGTCATGAAGGTAGCTCTGCGCGCTGCCAGCCATACAGCCCCCTTTCTGCAGGGGTCAAGTGAACCCTGAGTTTGACTGTGCCTCACCAAGGCATTCTTCTTCCAAACATCCCCACTCACCAGATGGGGAAATGGGACGTTAAGTGGCAGCTCCAGACCTGTGGAAAGCCTGTGGGACAGAAACCATGCTCTGTGGTCCCATTCCAGACTTGCCCATAAAACTATCCATCCTTCCAGACAGGCATCCTAACTGAGCTGCCAAGCCTTGGTCCAGAACGCAGTATTAAAGTAGTAAAAGGGCACTTAATTCTCCTAGCATCATGGAAAAAGCAAGTTCCAAAACAGATACTAAATAAAACTATAAATATAGGGAAATAACAAAAGAAATAGATTGGTCTGGGAAAGAAGGGAAAACTGTATGTATTTGGAGTCTCTCACTATTCTATACCGCTGCAAAGCATATCCCTCCATACAAAAGATAATGAACCACACAGCTTTGGGAAACGATCTTCCTGCTTAGCAGCGGAATACACCAGCAGAAAGCAGTAGCCTTCTCACATGTCTGAAAGATGCTCCAGCAAGCTTCTCTGTCACATGTAGCTTGCTTATGTATGGACACCAGCTCAGCGTTACATTTGGGTGAAAAAATCCCATTCCTAAACATGTATTGTAATGCCGTGTCACTGGAAAACTCTTCAAAAGAGCAGATGAGCTCTTTGTGCACCCTGGAAAATAGAAGAGGATTCAAACTGCAGCATAACAGCTTTTACACTACTCACAGGGTACTACGGCACTTGGGTTTGCTGGCCTGCCTCTACGGTAGGGCAAACTGCACCCATGTCGGCCAACGCTGTCCATCAAGCTAACAGCAACGAGCGCTGGAACAAGCCATGAACTGGCATTTAAAGTGTGCTCGTGGATCCCTGGAAACACTGGCCTTCCAGCCCCACTCCATGTTTTCACACCTTGGAAACCTCTGATTATTGTTTTATGTGAGTAATAAATCTGATGACAACACAGCAATATCTGTATTTCTTTAGCGATAGATCCAAAGTGCTCAGACACCGGGTGGAAAGCTATCATGCCCTTTATGGGCACTGCAGCACAGTGCAAATCTTACCAAGAAGAAAGACGTGAGCATGACTGCTGGGTGGACAAGGACATAAGTGAAGGCTGCATAAGGTTTGCTATCTTTTATTATTCCATAACAGAATTGGTCCTAATTTAAGGACAGAATATTTCTGATACCAGCAATTAAATAAGGTCCATGATTGGGTTTAGTCTCAGGAGATACAGTCTTCTCTGCCTTGCTTCACCTGAACAAAGCTACCTTTCTGCTCAGTAGGAACTGAGCTCCTGATATCCAGAAGTTTTGCGGCTTCACAACTAGAGCACGAAACAGCACATCACTGCTAGGATCAGGGTCTTGGCAGGGAAGGGCTGGACTGAGCTTCCCTAAACAGAGCTGCAACAACAACAGGACCAACCTGTAGTTGTCAACCAAAACCAAGTAGCCTGCAGCCCTAGCAAGTCTCTGTCCTGCTGTCTCCATAACTTACTGCCTTCTACCTGAGACAAGCAGCCTGTAGCCCTCACTTCTGTTCTGCAGTGCAACAGATGAGTAGTATGCCGCTGAGAGAGCAGACCCCTTCAAAACACCAACTTAAAGCAAATGGTTTCTGTGAGTACAGACATAATGCAAGCAGGCAAAGGAGCTTCTGTGACGGCAATAACCAGTCGTTTAAGAAAGCTGCAGATCATTTTAAAAAGTGAATTTCAATAATGAATCACAAACAGTTCTGCAGTGGTTGCAGTCTAGGATTCCGACCCAAAGGAAGGCAGTAGGAAATGGCAGTTTTTGTTTTTAAATTGATTAAAGCAGCAAATGTGTGTCTGAGTGGCTGAAAAAAACTACCTGTGTATACTTCATCCAAGCTCAGTTACCACAAAGAGGATAACGAAAAGGTACAACATTTTAAGGCTAACTTAAAATGGCTAACTAGCTACTGCTAACGTACAACTTTCTGATTTGGATATACCTGCAATTGCTCACCGATTCTCCAAATATTTGATCCTTACAAAGCTCATCACTCTAAATACACAGATGACAGTCTGTATCATTATAGTAATTGAGCTTTCCTTTCCAACAAGGACTGTTACAGAATCACAGAATCACAGAATCGTTTAGGTTGGAAGGGACCTCTGGAGATCATCTAGTCCAACCTCCCTGCTCAAGCAGGGTCACCTAGAGCATATTGCCCAGGATCACATCCAGACGGCTTTTGAATATCTCCAGCGAAGGAGACTCCACCACCTCTCTGGGCAACCTGTTCCAATGCTCTGTCACCCTCACAGTGAAGAAGTTTTTTCTCAGGTTCAGATGGAACTTCCTGTGGTTTCGGGAAGCACCTACGATGGGGAGGTGCTGTCTGTCCTGATTTGGCTCCCCCCATTCACTGAGCCAGCCAGATGTGAGCCAGCTTTGATCCAGAAGCCGTGTGAGGGATCCCAGAGATGGTAAGCCCTGCTCAGAAGTGGAATTTCTCAGCTTGGGCTCTGTGCCGTGCTAATGTAAGCGTGTGGTTTGGGAACTGGAATTGGCTTCTATGCAGCTGATGCAAAGAGGACACGCCATGGCATCTGTCTTTGCAGATGTGGCCTTAGCTTGCAGAAAGCCCAAAACGGTCCGTGAGCTCTGTGGCGTGCCATACTGTGTGCTGTAGAACCTGAAGCCAAAAAACCCCACATGCCACATATCCATTTCCTAAAGCTTTCCTTTTCCTCTCCAACACCTCCCTCAGTAAGCTTTGGCACGCTCCAGAATGAACATAGCACAAAACATCTTTTAGAAACGGGCTTCATCAGGCTTAAATTCAATTCATTGATGAGCTCTGATCTTGATATTCTCAGCAAAGCATCAGCAGAATGGCAGGAGAGCTGGAGCATCTGGCTGTGCAATTCTAGCCTGGCTTGCTGAGGTGAGGCTGTACTTTCACCTCAGCTTCCCGGCAGTGCGCTTCCTCTGCCGCAGCTTTGGGTATCACGTGCGGGCTGGATAATTGCAGATAAGGCTCTCAGCGTAGAGGTGTTTGCTCAGGGGATGTTTTACTTGCACTTATCATAGCAAAGTGGGTGTTTGGGCAAGCATGACGAGCTAGGCTTGAATCCTTTCTGTGTTTAGTTGCGTAACAGGCATGAGTACTGCTTGCTCTGAGAAAAATGTAGCAGAGGTGCTGACTAAAATCTCCAGGCTATTTCCATGAGGAACGCGGCTGAATCAGGCAGGCCACAGAAAGCCTTAGGTCTTGGCCCCTTCCCCATCATGGAGAGACAAATGCACCTAGGTTACCAGTGTGTCCAGGCATTAGTGGCATCCTCTTTCTAGGACAGTCCTCAACTGGTCTATCTTCCACTATTTCAAGACCAACATTTAATTCCATAGATGGGAAAATGGACTGTGACTGTTCTCATTCAAAAGTAAAGCAGAATTCCCATCAGAGTCAAGCAACCAAAAATCTCTGAAGGGGACAGACAGCTCCAACCACTCAAGAGAGGGACTGCAATTTCACTCCATGTGGCAGAGCAAGTGGTACCCCTGAACCATGTGGCCTACAAAAAATCATCAGATTCGTCTGTGCAGATGGGGTGAATAATCTGTACTATAATGATATGAAGACACGATAAAGGAGGGCCACACAGTCTATGAGGTATTAGTTGCTTGGGATGTCTTCTAGCAGCGTAAGATCTGCAAAAGAAGGTGAAAAAGTCACTGGGGTTGTATCAAGAAGGACATATAAAAACCAGCCGTTAACATGTTAACCCTAGGATGCTGTGCTATGCTTTGGGGATGTCCTGGCGCACCTCCACTAGCTGGAGGAGCTCTGTATCACAGCTCATCCGCCAGCAACACAGAGCTCACGTCATCTCGTGACAGGCAGACAACATCCACTGCTCTGCCCTCATCTACCCAGCCAGTCATTCTGTCATAGAAGGCTATCAGATTGGTCAAGCATGATTTCCCTTTGGTGAATCCATGCTGACTACTCCTGATCACCTTCTTGTCCTCCAGATGCTTAGTGATGACCTCCAGGATGAGCTGTTCCATCACCTTTCCCGGGATGGAGGTGAGGCTGACAGGCCTATAGTTTCCTGGCTCCTCCTTCTTGCCCTTTTGGAAGACTGGGGTGACATTGGCTTTCTTCCAGTCCTCAGGCACCTCTCCTGATCTCCAGGACCTTTCCAAGATGATGGAGAGTGGCCTAGCGATAACATCCGCCAGCTCCCTCAGCACTCGTGGATGCATCCCATCGGGGCCCATGGATTTGTGGATGTCAAGTTCGGACAAAAGATCTCTAACCTGATCCTCCTCCACCAAGGGAGAGTCTTCCTTTCTCCAGCCTTCCTCTCTTTTCTCCAAGGTCTGGAATTCCTCAGGACTGGCCTTAGCAGTGAAGACAGAAGCAAAGAAGGCATTCAATAACTCTGCCTTCTCTGTATCCTTTGTCACCAAAGGATATGTTAAAGATCTCTAACAAATCTATGTTTCCAGGGCTGATGGTTAGCTTTGACATTATGACGACTGATCTGTTTTGGGCTTTTCTCTCCTACCACCACCATCTTTGCTTTGGCATGATCCAATGTCAAAATAGTCTATGTAGCTATAACTGCTGAAGCTGTTGTCTATGATCTTAGAGCAGAAACTAAATTCTGTCTATTAAGAGCCTCATGCATAACTGGGTCATTTATCATTGCTAATTGGTCATCCAAAATACTGTACAGCCTGCTCAAGAGCTAAATAGAACTAAAGCAGAGTCCTTAGAGCATGCTTTAACATAAAAACATTTTCAATTACTCTCCTGCAAGTGCAACATTAGCTAGTGTCTTCAGTTATGTATAATACAATTACCGTAAATTACATTCTCACTTGTTCAAGGCAGAGGAGTACATTCATCAAGTTTCATATAGAGATCCTCATTAGTACAAAAGGGATGGTCAGACCTTGCATAAAGGAGCAGAGGAAAAAAAAAAAAAACCCAAAGCCTCGTCTTCCCTGCCACTGACTTGCTATTTAACTTTGGGCAAGCCGCCCGAGGCCGAGATTGTCAGAGGCACTGAGGTGCCCTAGGAAATCCTAGTCCTCCAAGTGCATTTCACTTCACTGCTTGTTGCTCTGAAGCATTTACCCCTTTCTCCCACTACTTCTCCAAGGGCTGTGCTTGCCTCTTCCTGCAGTAGCCAGAGCAAGGAGGCCACAACTTTTTTTGAAACGTGAAGGGGCCAATAATTATAACTGCTTATGATCTGAAATCTTTTGGGGACCAATATTATGTTTGAGGCACTTACGTCCCTGTGGCACTCAGGGCGTCATATGGTTAATCAGGATTTCTGGTCAGACCAAAAAGCCAATGACTACACTGGCTTTGAAAACAGCCACCCACATGGTGGTCCACTGCACGGCATCTGCTCTGCTTGCATTTAATACTTCCTCTTTAGACACCCCTAAATGGGTTAAAATACCTGCTGTGGGCAGCTTAGTGCATATTCCCTGTCCTAAAAACCTGCACAACAGGAAAGGACCATTAAATTGAACTCCTCTGAGCCTGTCTCAGGTCTCTCCATACAAATACCCAACAGCTCCTCTTTGCACTGGCCCTGACGGGGCTAAGTCACACAGATTCCTACTTCCCCAAAACCTTTTACTTCCCAGCTTGTTTTATGTGCACTATTCACTGCAGGGCCAGAGAGGCACAAAACAGCAATGATAACTTTAAGCTGGGGAGGGGGGAAACACAAATTACGTTCATGGTTTTGCTCCACTCAGAACTCCATCTGCCTAAAGGAGACTGGTGGTGTTTAAATTACAAAGAATTCCCCTTGAGCGAGCCAGTTTAACCTCTGGCTGCTATTTTAAAGACCATGTCTGGTTATGGACTCCTCCCTAAATAAACTGCCTAGTACGATATTTTCTTACATAAACACAGCCCAACTCAGACCACCCATGCTCCTTAAGGAAAATAATGGTGTTGTCTGCTGAGAAAGTGGCAAGACCGGAATGATTTAAAGAGCAGATCAACTATAAATCTCAATTAATTACGCAATTAATTTTGAAAAAGCTGTGTATTTGTGAATATCTAGACAAGAAAGTCCTGGAGCACAAAAGAAAAAAAGCTTACCGCTGAGGCATCCGTTCAGAGAAAGTGTGGTGAATGACAAACTTACCCAGCTGGAAGAGGGAGTGGTAGCAACATATCCTATCCTGGATAGTACAAAGGATTGAATCTGAATGATAATTCTGTAGGAGACAGTAGCCCCTGAATAAACGCTACCTCCAAAATACTGGACAGCGGTTTCACATGTAATCTCACACGGCCAAGAGCCTTACAGCTGATTAGCCATCCATTTGTCATTGGACAAAATAGAAATTAAGATCTATTATTCCTTTGAGTGTCTATGCCTACGCCTTTTACAACTATAAACTGTTTAAAGACAGAAGTAACAACATAATCATTTCTGTGACACTAAACTACACCATTTTGTTTTTTAAAGGAAGAGGAGGAACACATTTTAGCAACAGTTTGCTAGTTCTGGCATAATTTTCCAGCAAATAAATCTACGTGACCCCTAATTAAAATAATTACATTTAAACATAATTTAGATGATCTTATCTTTATCAAAGGCATTAGGCACCTTTCAAGGTCTTTCAAAGAGAATTCATAGCTACCATGCAGGAAAGCCTCTTGCACAGAGCCTACAGAGTTGCAGTGCATGTTGTGATTCCCATACCGTAACCTCTTTTCCTGAAACAGGGCCAGTTCCACATCCACTTTCTCTGTCTCCTGAGTTGTGCTATTACGTTATGGAGAGACTGCAGCACAGGGGGAAATGAAAGATGGGGGACTACAGAAAAGATAAGGAAAGAATCACATGGGAAAAAAAGGATAAAAGGAGATGAAGCAAATCACCTAAGGTTCAAATACTTTTGTTACCTGTTTTAGTGAGCAAAAAAACACCACAGGGTGTTTATAAATGAACATGCAGTAGAATTCATTTCTAAAAATACCAGTTCACTGCAGTCATTCAGACCAAATCTTGCTCCCTTCCCAGTGTCATTTACTGCAGGTGTCAATTCATTTATTTATCATTCAGACTGCTTACAGTGGGTGTCAGTACATAAGTGAAGAGATTTATCTGTTCTACATTAGAATTTATGAAAAACTAAGTTCTCTGTGGCAGTCAGACCTCATGGGAGTTCAGAAAGCAGCCAATTCTTAACCGACTTCCTATGGAACCAAAAAAATTTCAAGAATTCCCTCCCTGCCTTTCCCTCTGCCAATTTGTCCAGCATTGCTACGGAGAGCACTTGCCTGGACTGCAGTCAGATGCTGTTAGGGTAATTCTGTGATCTTTCATATGAAAACTGGTACCAAACTAGAAGAAAAGGTAATGGAACTCAACACAAATTCTACTTCCGGCTTCACAGTAGCCAGATGTCCTACATTATTAGAAAAAAAAAAAAAAAAAAAATTGCCTGGACTGCAGTCAGATGCTGTTAGGGTAATTCTGTGATCTTTCATATGAAAACTGGTACCAAACTAGAAGAAAAGGTAATGGAACTCAACACAAATTCTACTTTCGGCTTCACAGTAGCCAGATGTCCTACATTATTAAAAAAAAAAAAAAAAAAAGACACCCGAATCACTATGCAGATGATCGTCACCTTTCAAACCAGAACATGATTCAAGTCACTAGTTTTCAACCTGTGGACCTCCTTGGGTCTGTGGACTACGTGAAACAGGCCCCAGAAAAGCAATTCAGAAGCAAGCCTAATTTTTTCCACTTACACTTAACAATACAAGTGAAGGAACTTCACTTCATTGGAAAATATGTAGAAAAAAGTAAGGAATTTGAAAAGCCACTGATTAAAGTGAATGAGGTAAGAGTTGTTTTCTGTGATGACATTATGGTTTCTTCCCTTTCAGAAATGAAGGAACTCTGGAACATCCGCAATCTGAACATCAGACATTTCGGCTCACTGATGAAGTTGGAATTGGAAATTTTCCTCTGCTCCCTAGGCTGATGCCAAGACATTTCTGATATGAGGGTATGCCAACCCTTGCAACAAAGCATAATCTGGTTCTTGGGGTTTCCTGGCAAAACTAGGTTTGCCCACCTGCACTGCTGTGAGGCATTCTGGCTTCAAACATTTAAAAAAGGTTCTGCTGCAAAGAAAAATCCAACAAATTCGAGATGCAGAGAGCTCAAATGCTGTATGAGAGAGCTCAAATGTGTTGTATGGGATGGAGTTTGGAGTACGGCTTCAAAATGCCACCACACTGAATCACCTCATTCTCTCTCTTACTGAATCCAAAAGCCCTGTCTTTCGGTGCACCTGCAACGGGCTTCAAATTTACTTCAAACAGATGACCTTGCTCAGGAGTAGGTAGGTTTCAGGTTGGGACAGGAAAGTGCAACATATTCATGATTTTATTTAAGTGCTCCTGAAATCCGATGACAAGAATTAAAATTTCTTGTTGGAAACTTTTCTTCGTAAAACTAGCGTTTACCAAGGAAAAGACAACATTGTTTTCACTTCAAAAAATAAATGTCTCAACGTTAAAGATGAAAGAAATAAATTTCCGGGAAATTTTCATGTAATGTGAAGCTATTTATTTCTTCATATACAGCTATTCAGCTGTTTTTTCACTCACCTCTGTGTCCCTGAATCTATCCTCATAGTCCAGTCTGTCCTTCTCTACAGACGTAAGCTTTAACTTCAGATTGGAAATCTCTGCCATTAGATCCAGTTTCTGAGTTTCAAGGGACGTTCTGCTCAGAAGCTCCTGGTTTAAGATAAAGAGGAACAGAACAGAATTATTCATCCAAGGGAAAAGAATTCTACACTTAGCACTAAGATACATGCCCAGAAATAGGTAATGTATTTCTACAGCTAGAGGCCTCTTTGATGGAGCAAACCATTATACTCCTTCCGTGCTATGAAGCCCTGGGACACAGCAATTAGCCTATCTGACAGACTTGAGGCACCTAGGATGCATCTGAGATCGGAGGCCACGATCAGGGGTTTGCTGCCAAGGCTAGAATAAAACTCGTCTGTCATCACAGTTGCTCTGAGCAGCAAGGAGTTTTGAGAGGAATCCACCCATCCTGCCAGAGGCTTTAATCCAAATCTCTTTGAAGTTCAGTGGGGAAAGGCTCAAAGGACAGTAGGACTGGATTCCTGTAGCGTAAAGCAATGTTGAAATGACTACGTACAAAGACTTTCAAACAAATATAGCAGGAACAGAAGTAAGAGAATTACCACTTAGTTAAGTGACATCAAGGGATAAAACATCTTGAACTGAGGCACACTGCTCTCCCTGAAGCAAAATGCAATTCATTACGACAGAACAAGAGACACAGAGGGAGAGAAATGCTTCTTTGCAATACCTGCTGCAGCATCTCCTCCGTGGCATTCAGCTTCTCCCTGTGCTCCTCTAGGCAGAACTCCAAATCCCGAATCTTTTCTCCCTGGGCCTCTACCTGGTCAGTCAGCACACTCACCTGTAAAGTGGAGATAAAGGAATGCCTATACTGTTTGTATCCTCTGAAGAATCATATATGAATAATAGCACCGGTTGGCCCCAGATGAAATACAACAACATAAGGATGGCGCACAGCAGGGTGCTGCAGCGGACACAGAGAAGTCAACTGTGAGGACAGAAAGCTTTCCCCTCACGCTTACTGGAATTTTGGCTGAACTTCTGGCAGACGCATTGCAATTTTGCATTCCTGACCTGTCCGGGGAGTTTTCACAAGGGAGTTGCTGTGGCATCTTACAGCCAACCTGTAAGCAGCAGACCTGCTACTGCCTCCTCACCAAAAGCAGGCCATGTCAGTATTTTGTAACACATTAAAACTAAAGATGTGACAGTGCCTTGACTAAAGACTATTAGCTTCTACTTTAAAATTGAATACTTAAACCTCACCAAATGCCAGTTATTCTTTCTGAGTGATTACATACAGTGTATCACACTGTACAGCTTCTCCTTTTCCAAGGATAAAAACAGAGGAGGTTAATGCACATCAACTGAGGCAAGGCGAGAACGACCAAGACAACACCTTTGAGACTGCAGACTGATTCCCATTTAGCCTTTTCTGAATAAAATTGTGTTTGTTTTAAATAGGCTCTTTGGAGGGAGTCTGCACTGCTGCTGGGAGTGAGGGTAAGTCAGCTGGAACAGAGCTCTGCACTGTCACGGGCAGCCCGTGGGCCAGGTCCACGTGAGGTGACATGCAGCTGCCGGCGCAGAGCTCATGGAGGGCTGCCAGGTGATCCAGACGCCTGACGGCAGGAGAAGCCAGCCAGCGAGGGCAGCTGGGGTGAGCTCCAGCACAGTCCAGTCTCAGAGCGGGAAACAGTCCCCTCCTGCCCATCAGCGGTCCCGCAGCTTTCATTGCCCTTGTTTCCCTCCAGAGTGTGGCGCTTGCCTGGTGGCTAGTGGCCACAGGGATATTCTGGTAGGCCTAAGGACAGGACGTGTGCCACCTCATGTGGACAGCAGGTGAACAATCAAGGAAGAAGATGGTTTTAAGGATATATAGGAATGCAGGAAGACGATGGCGTTGCAGACCAACTCGGCTAGCAAGATTCAAAAAGTTCAGACACAGAGAAGGCGGCGTTTTGATTATTACTGCAATCTAAATTCGCACTTATCCATAATCTGGGTTAACCCCCAGGCATCAGCAACACTTCAATCACTGCCTAAGATGGCACAGCTGCAAATAAATCCTCACAGGTTTAATCACATAATACAAAAAAGTCTTATTAATACAAGAATAGAAGAAAATAATTTAGGTGATGACTCACTTGCAGAACAAGAGATTCCTTATCATTTTCCAAACGTGCCAGCCTTTCTTGATACACATCTCCATTACCAGATATGTGTCCATTAGTCTGAAAGACATATCAAACATTGCATCTGTCAGTTACCATATGATAAGCATCATTCTTCAGTATAAATTTAAAATCATTCTACACCAGAAACTAGTCAAACGCAGTAAGATGAATCATTGCGATAAGGACATTTAAAATACAGTATTATGAGCCAGACATACCCTGATGGCAAGGTCAATCTAAGTCAAAAGGACTAGGCTGACTAACACCATCTAAGGATCTGAGATGCAAAGCTTTCCGTGTTGTAAAGTTCATCAGCTTCAAGTAACAGTCACAGGTAATTAGCTATGGCACGAATACTTACATTAACATTAATACAGCTGAGAATAATAATATTAAATAATTCTGTTGTAATAACCTCTTTTGATTTGTAGACCCATAACATTTTTAAGTGGAACACTACTGTATGGAGACTTTAAGCCTCCTGACAACAGGCTTGCTTTTCTTAGTCTGTGGACTGTCAAAGGTCTGCGAAACCACAGGCTGAAAACCACTGAGCAACACAAAAACGTCTCAGAAGCCCTAATGCTGATGTTTCTCATTTAACTTATTAATAAGACATTGTCATTTATCTACTTAAAACAGAATGGCAGTTTCCGTCAGTAAACTAGTATATAGAAACTAAATTAAAATTTTCTTCAAGACAGAATATAATTGGGAAAAACATACTCTGAAAACCTATCACAACATGTAAAAGAACATAAATGTACACAGATCTGACTTTCAACTCATAATGCTGCCACTAAGAACAATTTTTACATGTCTGTCAATGTTATGAACTCACAAGAGTATTACTAATCTGCACAGTTTAAGAATAGATTTATATTATTTTCCAGGCCCCTCCTCCTCCCCCCGCCAAGGGTTACAAACGAAAGAAACTGTCAATAAAGGATACAGGATCACAGTTCAGGACATGAATTGTTCAGGGGCTTAAAGATGAGAAGGGAAGAACCTTTTGGTGACACAATTCTGCAAATTCTCTTACTGCGCATTCAGCATTTTGTTAACAAAATTTGTGCTCCATGCTGTACTATGCTAAGCCATACTTGCAAAGAGACAAATATCCTGAGACATTCAGCAACTGGAAAAAATCAACTTACAAGCTACATAACGTGCATTAGGCTTCTTGCAAGTCAATTTTTTTTTTTAATCGCACAGTAAGAGACATCCTTTTACATCGGGCACTTTTTACTACGTATGCATGAAAGTCTGCATTCTGAAGACATCTCTTTATTAAGCCGCTTTAGGCTAAAGAGAAACAAAAATACACGTTAATGCTATCCAAGAGTCCAGAGGAACTGGCAATTTTCCTTCTTCATACTAATTTCAATGCTCTGAAGCAGGGAGAAGAATTTTTACTCTATCCATACACGAAGCTGTCTCCAAGCGCTTTGTAAGGTAGAGTCACAGTCAAATCTCAGTTCAGAAAAAAAATCCTTGTTGCCATGATGGTAGAAATCAGGGAAGTTTGAGAATTCGGACTAAAATCCAGTGTACTGAGCACTGAGACGTCTCCTGACTTCGAGAGGCCTCGATTTCCCTCTGAGCACTTAATGGCAAGAAATTGGGCCACTGACTCTCATGCCCATGTGAGGCGGCAGAGTAACCTAGCCGTGAGAGGCCACCCTCACTCATGAGCTGGAAACCTCAGGTTTCTGCTTTAAATCTCCCTTTGAAGCAGGCTGTCTCCCCCGATTACCGAGGAGGCTTCAGACGAGCCTGCAAAAATACCTTTTTTACATTGCATGCCTGAGTTCAGGTGGCATGAGAAACTCCTTTGCTTGAATTTGGGGGAGCGACAACCACAAACCACCCAGCGTTAGTTGAAGATTAGAGGCAAAGCAAACAGGAGAGGGTACAAAGCGTCTGACCTCACCTTAGCGCTCTCCTCAAGAAATCAGGCTGTACCCTGGTGGCTTTTAAGTCAGTGGGCAGTAGCAGAAGTATCTCCCAAGCATCTACATGCATAACTTCTCCATCTTTCCTCAAATCACCAGGAGCTACAGCAGGGCTAGGAAAGCATGCTCCTAAGTACTTTGTATCAATATCTCATACCATAATAACACCCTGAATTCCAAATTTCAAAAGATACTCTGTATCCAAATTATTTAGCAGTAAATTACCAGGCCCTCTGACCATCTAGCATCTCAGCACCAAAGCAGAAGCACTCTCAACTTCTGAGTTTGCACTGTTTTTCCCAGCCTCTACCAGAACTTAGGCTCATGCCACTCGATTTTCATTCAAGGTCAATGACATCTTTAGTTTTATAACAGTTTTAATTTAGGTGAAAGAAGTCCAAGCGTTTCTGAAATAAACTCGTTAGCTGCTAAGCTTAACAGATTATCCTTTAAATTATGTGACTTGATTTGCACAGATAATGCAAACTGCAGGTTTTTGCATACTTCCTGTTACTCTGTAGCTCCTTCCTCATTTACAGTCCTGTACATCTTAGGCACTTATTCGGTCCCCATTATTATAGCATCTGTATTTTGTAATATATAGCACATTTAGCACTACAGTGTGTGTCCCTGATGTAGGAAAGAGATATTTAGCCTCCACTACAAATAGGCAACTGAGGTGCAAAGACGCCCTCTCTCCTGCGGGCGCTCACACGGAAGTCCTTGCCAAAGCATAAACTCTATTCCCAGCCTCCTAAACAACACATCCGTGCCCTAACCACTGAACCTCTTGCTATCTCTAGTCAGTGTAATCAGGCACAAAACCGAAGACCGCACGAAAAAAATATGGGGCTGTAAGTATTTATTTTACACTACAACGAAAATGCCTTTCCAATGCTGTGAAAATTAACGAGGTGTTAAAGCAGAGTGTTAGTCATTGTGCATAACGTCTTGCTAAGGCACCTTAGTTGTTAAACTCTGTTCACATTCCTCAAAAAAAAATCCTGTTTTGCTCAGCAACTCATACTGGGTTTTAAACTAGAAGCATTTAGAGAGTGAGAGTTCATATCATACCTGCATATTACCATGAGAAACAGAGAGGAAATTATGAGAATCATAAGCAGAACTGGAGTAAAGACTATTCTCCCACAAAACCAAACAAAATCCAAACGTCTTTACTTTTACCAGCAGCAGCCAGAAACATTTTGTAAATCTGCATAAAAACAGACCTCCTGTAGTAGACTGAAAACAGCAGAACTTGGTGTACAACTCAATAGCAGTTCACTTTCTGTCTGAAACGTTGCATCTTCTGCATAACACCTGGGATTAACTCTGCAATGTCAGAGCACATTTTAGGTATGAAAAGGCAGAAAGTCCTTGACTTTGGTTACAGAGGCCACGGCATCTACTACACAGAGCTGCAGCGCCAGCGTGTCCCACGGCAGTCCAGAGATGGGGACTGGTGGGTAGCAGCCATGCAACACCTTCCAGCAGGTCTCCTCTGCTCTGTCCTCTCCCCAAAAGAAAAAAAAAAGCTGATACCAGGCACATTTTTCCTTCCAAGAAAAAGGGAAAGGTATACCTGCATTGGGCAATGGGCAGCGGGAGCCCGAAACAGCACAGGAAAGGGCAGCAGGGAGGTTTGACAGACAGAGGAGCTGCGGTGCGTGCGAGGCCTGGGAGAGCAACGCCCAGCATGTCCTCTGGGAAGGCTTTCTCTGCGCTTGGAGGCTTGCAGCCTCCTCTGGGGCAGAGCCTGGCAGCTATTGCTCAGCGCAGAGCAAAGGCGTCGTTTAAAAAAAACAAACAAACAAAAAGTGAAAAATAAATATTTGATTCCACAGCAACCACAAGAGTATTTGGGGTATTTGGTAGATCTGGACCACATTTGCATCATACAAGTCTATACAGGATTAACGCAGTTTACTAGCTGTGAAATGCATGCTTTCCCATCTTCCAAAGAAGGCTCTTTTTCATCAGTAACTTAAAATTAATCTGGAACTAAGCTGTTAGACTTTGCATATGTTTTTAATTTAGGGATTAACTGCAGAACACTGGATGGGAAGAGAGAACGCAGATTTACCAAGGCTGATCTGAATCCTATAAACAAAAGAACAGTTGTCACGATGCCACTGAAGCGTCTCAGAAGTTTCAAGTTAAGCATTTGCTTAAAATGCCTTATAAGATCAGATCCAGTGCACTTAAAACTCTGCAAGATCAATCCATTACTAATCTGTTAAATATGTGTGTACGCTTTGTCTGCAGTCATGTAAATAAAAATCCATACTGCTCTAGTGGGAATTATTCCTGTAATAAGCAGATGCATCACAAAACCTTCACAGTTTGCCTGCCTTTTGCCTTTTAATCCATTTTCTCTAGAACTTATTTAACCTTCTAAACCACAGAAAAGTTTCTAATAGCTTCTGCTTTTTAACCTACCCAAAAAATATTTTATTGTTCCCCCTCAAGCACTGAAATTTCCTTTCAAAAATAAACCTCCTCTTTAACCTACTGCAGCCGATACCTTCATTATCCTTTGTTTTCTCTTCTGCTTTTGAGACAAAATCGGCAGAACAAACCACACTGTTCTTGCTGAAGACGTGAGCCAATTTATATAAAAGGTACTACCACTCCACAGCGTTATTTTTGGTCCATTCTTTCTGTGAGAGTTTGCACCGACTGTTAGGACCACTACAGCACCGTCAACAGTTAGGCAAGTGGGCTGTCCCGGACTACTTCTTCCTGACCATCTGGAGTGAAATGAGACCTCATTAACATGCTTAAGTCATTCAAATCATTCTAATACACATTACCTACACTTAGCTAAGCACAGCTATTGCTCACTCTGTTTTAAGGAGTCCCTTGCAAGGGGGCTTCTCGAGCCTCAGCTACCTCAAAATCACTTGGTGGGTCACAGGCACATCCGCGAGGTCCTCCAAACAAACTGCTCATCACCACTTTCCCTGTCACACAGAATGGTGATGGCTTTGCCCTTTGTGAGCATAATTACATCCCAAATTAATGCTGGCAGAATGACCCGGAGCAGGGTGTAGGCAGTTTGCGGGGAAGCCCATCGCTGCCCCCACGGCCCCGCATCTCCTG